CTGTGCACGGCCCGCTCCTTTTATTTTGGCTCACAGACATCAATCGTTATGCTGTGCATTCGTATGCACCATGCATGGTGCATACGGATGCCAAAACGACGTCGTTTTATTAAAAAACGCGCGTCTCCCATTTTAAAAAAATTCAGGTTCGATTCCCAGTAACAACATTATATTGTTCATTCATTCTGAAATTTTAGTTCATAGATTATGGAATTATAGTTCATTGATTATGGAATTATAGTTCATCGATTATGGAATTGTAGTTCATCGATTCTGAAATTTTAGTTTATAGATTATGGAATTTTAGTTCATTCATTCTGGAATTTTTAGTTCATAGATTAGATTATGAAATTATAGTTTATCGATTATGGAATTATAGTTCATCGATTATGGTATTATAGTTCATCGATTATGGAATTTTAATTCATATGTTGTTGCTGGGAATCGAACCTGATTTTTTTTTTTAAGAGGAGACGCGCGTTTTATTAAAACGACATCGTTTTTGCATCCGTATGCACATGGTGCATACGGATGCACAGCATAATTTGCCCACAGACATACGCTTCCACGATAGAAGCGATGTGGGACAAATTGGCTACCCTTATTACTCACAACGCATAAGCAGTAGCTGGTGCTCTATTCTCACCTTTTGTCTTCGTCTTCTCCTACGATCTAATTTCTGTCAACGAGGTACAACAACGTTATAATTCATTGTTCCTATGGAATTTATTTCTAATGAATTGAATGCCTCTGCAATTGAACACCAGAAGGTTCTTTTTTGAGCTTCAGGTTTAGGGATGAGCATTGAGCAGTGATCTTTCCCTCAGCGGAAGAACTTCCGTGGTGATTAAATGTCTTAGTTAGCCTAACAAAATGGATGATTTTTTTTTTTTTTAATTCATGTGTGTCATTTAGGTAATTTTGATACATTGATTATAAAATCAAGTAAATTGGAATTTAATTTGATATATTTTGAAGTCATATGGTACACCATGGTGTAATGTTATTGCAATTAATTAATTAATTAATTAATTAATTAATTAATAATAATAATAATAATAATAATAATAATAATAATAATAATAATAATAATAATAATAATAATAATAATACAGAATAACGGGTAAATTGCAATTAACATTAATCAAAATTAGGAGACCCAATTGCACCATTCACTCAATTTAGTGTTAGCTTTTTCCAAAAAAAAAAAAAAAAAAAAAAAAAAAAAGAACATCATTTTAATTTACTTAACATTATTAAAATATATTTTAAAAATGTCAAATGGCGCTCGATAACCAGGTAGTAAATGATTTTACTAATAAATTAGACGAATTGCACTGAATTGGTTCATTTAGGATCCAAATATACTTTTTAAAAAGTTTAGTTGCCCAATTGTATTATTATGTGCACTTTAACAGTCTATTTTTACATTATTATGATTACTTTATTTTAACATTATTATGGTTACTGCCTTAGTTATGACTACTCTTTTCTATTATAATAATATGGTTGTGCAGTAAGTGTTTTTCTTCATAATTAGTGTTATTATTATAGATCGTGGACTAATATTATGTTTTATTGTTTGCATTTAAACAAATTAGATAAATGACTAATAATATATTTATATGATATAAATCTCAGTACTTCGAATAACAATGTAGACTTTGTTGTTTCTGGATTAAATAGAAAAAGAAAAAAAAAAGTACCATTGAGGAGAAATAATATTTAATTTTTAATAATAAAAATAATATTTATATTTTGTTATACAATTGATTACAATTACGTGGGAATATGTCTGTAACATTATAACAAGAGCACTTGCATTGTATACAACGAAATAATTATAAGCTTACATATCAGTGGCCAGAAACCCGCAAATTATGCCGTGAACACAAGTCAAAACGACGTCGTTTTTAGGCACAAAAAAAAAAAAAAAATCGCGAATGTGGAGTTAACGGCGCGTTACTGATCAAATTATGAATTTTCTGTTATGAGATTATGAATTTTATGAAAATTCATAATCTCATAACAGAAAATTCATAATCGCATAACAGAAAATTCATAATCGCATAACAGAAAATTCATAATCTCACAACTGAAAATTCATAATCTCACAACTGAAAATTCATAATCTCATAACAGAAAATTCATAATCTTATAACAGAAAATTCATAATCTCATGGTTCCAAAGTGAATGTGTAGACATGGTTCCAAAGTGAATGTGCAGGCATGGATTCATAATTTATGAATGTCCGTGATTTCGGACGGGAATATGTAGGCATGGTTCCAAAGTGAATGTGCATGCATGAATTCATAATTTATGAATGTCCGAAACTCCGAAATTATGAATGTAATGAAAATTCATAATCTCATAACAAAAAATTCATAATCGCATAACAGAAAATTTATGATCTCATAACAGAAAATTCATAATCTCATAACAGAAAATTTATAATCTCATAGTAAATGTGTAGGCATGGTTCCAAAGTGAATGTGTAAGCAATCACGTAATTAAAAAAAAAAAAAAAAAAAAAAAAAAAAAAAAAAAAAAAAAGATAACGGTACACTAACACCGTTGGAACCGTGTTCACCATTCATGGTGAACACGGTTCCATGGCATAACGTCTGCCAGAAACCCATTAGGGTCATAAAGCCTTTAATTTAAAATCTTAATACTTGAATTGGTGGGGTGCGCCCGGCCTAGGCAGTAGTGCAACGCCCAGACGACGCTCGAAAGCCCAAGTAGCAAGCTACTTTATATGGGCTTTCTCCTTAAAAAAATTAAGTTAATATCGTGTGGACCATTGGCCCACGTATCAGATATTAAATTGATAAGAACAGATACTACACTTGATCTTAGCCAAAACGCCGAGAAAGGTATGACTTTAACGTTGCACGGCCCGCTTCTTTTATTTCGTCTCACAGACATACGCTTCCACAACAGAAGCGATGTGGGACAAATTGGCTACCTTCATTACTCATAACTCATAAGCAGTAGCTGGTGCACTATTATCATCTTTTCTCTTCGTTTTCTTCTACGATCTAATTTCTGTCAACCAGGTACAACAACGCTATAATTCCTATGGAATTTATTTCTAATGAATTGAATGCCTCTGCCATTAAACAGTACACCAGAAGGTTCTTTTTTGAGCTTCAGGTATAGGCATGAGCAGTGATCTTTCCCTCAGTGGAAGAACTTCCATGGGTGATTAAATGTCTTTGTTAGCCTAACAGAATGGATGATTTTTTTTTTTTTATTTAGGTGATTTGGATACATTGATTATAAAATTAAGTAATAAATTGAAGGTGTTTTTTTTTTTTTTTAAACTAAGTAAAATGGAGGTTAATTGGATATATTTTAAAGTCATATGATACACCCTGGTGTAATGTTATTGCAGTTATTATTATTATTATTATTATTATTATTATTATTATAATAGTGGAATAACCACTATTCTAGGTATTTCATGGGTAGGTATAACAAGTAATTAATGGGATAGTGGATGGTTAAGGGGTAGTGGGTGATTTATATGATCATGTATATATATAGCTACCTATGTAATTGTATAAGACACTGAAGAATATATTGAATTTGTCTTGAGACATTCTTTTTCTTATCTCTTTTATGGAGTTGGGTTGCCACTCGAAGCACATACAATCATGTCTCTTCTTCTCCCATTTTTTGAAGTTTAGCTCTTGACTCGAAAAAGAGCTTACAACATCAGGGTTGTATCATCATCTTGACATAAATGTGTGTTGCTTGTCATGACTCGAGGACCCAAATAAGCAAAAGAAAAAATGAACAAAAATCAACTTTAATTTAGAGTAAAGAAAGTGTCGCGCTGACAATCTCGTTTGTGACCACAAAGAATTACAACTTTAATAAATACAACAAAGTCTAATTTGAACATCTATAATAGGTAAAAATAATTTAGAAATCATGATTGAAAGTGCCAAGCATAAAACTATGGAAGTCACGACTAGAGTCAAGATGTGACTCTGAGTGCGACTCAACCTAATATTTTATGAGTAGGCACAATTTCAGTAGCTATAAAAAACCAATTAGTAGTTAAAACAATTATTTTCTAACTTCTCCCAACTTAGAATAGGATTACATTATGTTAGATTAGACTTTAATTCAATATTACAATTCAATTTAAACTTCACTTCAAGCTAAGAATATAACACTTTATATTGGACATACTACTATAATCACAATCTTATTTTGAAAAAAGAGGACTAAGTGAGGATTTGTAGGCTATATGGGGTTGTTTGGATAATGATTTATCAGTCAAAATTTGATTTGTTTGATCAAATCAAACAGCTAAATCAAATTTTTGGTAAACAACATTTTTGCTTGGTTAATTGATACCAATAAGACTAAAAATGAAAAAGTTACAAGTATATAATATGTTAATTATTACATGTACATAATTTGAATGTCATTTTAAATCATGGTACATAATGTAAGATGCATTCAATCTATGGTATAATTTGCCGAGAATTACTATTAGCCCAAGAGTAATATATAGGGTATAGAGTTCAGATAACTATGTTTTAAAGAAAGAGAGATTATAATTTCACAATTTTCTTCTCAAACAATTATACAGAATAACGGATAAATTGCAATTAACATTAATGAAATGGATTGACAAAATTGGGTTTCATTTTAAATTGAAACGTTTAAATTCTCAAACACTAAGAGAGTGCACAATATGAAAAAAAAAAAAAAAGATAAAGTGGAAACACTTTATGCAGTCAAACACAAATGACCAAATGTAACTAAAAAGACGGAGTATGAACTTTTGAAAAATAAATATTCGTGAAATGTGTAATATTTTTTAATTAAAATTTATTATTTTTTTTGAGTATATAAAAATGTATATTTTAACTAAAAAGTATTACATATACAATACTTACTCTCTGGTGAATGTAGAGGTTAAAGAATTTATCTACTAATGAAAAATTCTAGATAATATGATATTAAAAATATGAGAAAATTGATAAATAATACCAAATGAATTTAATATTGAACTAATAATTAACCTCAAATCTTTTATTTCCTTATTAAACGGTGAAGAAATTTGCATAAAGAGAACAAAAATTTTATAAATATTTTTTATTATCCTGAACCTCAAGCTAGTTGATTAGACTCATCAGACTTCAAGTAAAACTTCTGGAGGCGCTGTTTAGCCTTTGCCACCTGTTACATAATCACAAATTGTGTAATTCCCCATTCATGTTACAGATAAATGTACCCATTATATATGATACTGTAATAATTTTAAAATGTTTAGTTTAGGTAATACCTCGTTATCCCAATCTGTTTTCCATGTCATGTAGCACAAGGCAAGTGATTGCGTGACCACCCCACAAATCATTCCAAGCCATATACCCTACCAAACAATATCACAACTTTGAGACTTTTCTATGCACTACAGTATATATTATATATATGCATATATGAATGATCTTAGCAAGCAGTACCTGCACTTCAAGATTAGCTACATAGCCAAGCACAGCACCAATCGGTATTCCAATAAGATAATAGCAACACAGGTTTATAATTGCAACTGTGCTTTGTAAGCCTGCTCCAACTGCCACACCTGATTACACAAATTTTTAAGTACTTAGTAAAATATAATGGATTAAGAAGTTATCCAGAACAGATGAGATGATATGAGCAAAAAACTTGCCTGAGAGTACTGGATAAATGCTATTGAGCAATACAGAGAATGCGAGGAGCATAGAGAGGTCTGCCACGGCATCTGCAACCTCCTTTTCGTTGGTAAACAAGTATCCAATTTTGCTCCCAAATGCCAGGCACAAAACCCAGAAGAATAATCCAACTACAATTGAAGTAGATACGAGTACTTTGATAGAAAATCGCGTAGCTTTCGCATCCCCTCTTCCAAGTTCATTCGCGACACGTACACTGCACACCATGAAAGTATATAAACCTAACTGTACTATTGATGGTATGTAATAATAGTTAATGGTAACATGCATACCAAGCAGCGCCAAGGAAGCCTAGGCTAATCATGAACTCCCATCCATTAATGTTAAGGCTGTGGAATGAAATTTAGTGTTAGTTACTGGTGCAATAACATTCAAAAGGGGAGTTAGTTCATAATTACCAGATGGAGAAGGCTGATATGGCAACCTCTGCATTCTTCATATATCCAGCTAGTAGGACTAATACAGCATTGTACCATAGCTCCAAACTAGAAACCAATTCAGATATTATTATAAGTATAATTACAAGTAGGTAGCAGTGATGAATTCACTGCTGGAAATTATGAAATTTTCCAACCACCTGAAAGTGATCTTAAATCAAGTCAAAAGCCTTGTTACGACCACTTTTGGTATCTGAAAAAACCTTTGTCGCTATTTCCGACCACTTTTTTGCTTTTGACTTGATTTAAGATCACTTTCAGGTGGTCGGAAATTCCATAATTTGCAGCAGTGATTGAATAAAGAGAAGAGGACTTAGTACTTACCAAACCATAACTCCTGATGATATGGAGAGCTTGACAACAGGGAATATATCTTTGAAGGCATCCTTTGTAAATCCCCTCCATGTGTTTGGGCACCAGCCGCCAAATATGTACACAAACTCACCGATCACAACGGACCAGGAGGATATGGTGAGGGCAAGCATTGCACCCGGAACCCCAAACTCGAACTGGTAAACTAACAACCAAGAGAGTGGGATGTGGATGACGAATTGCGCGACAGATAGCCACGCGATGATCATGTTCTTTTGTTGTGCTTGGAGATACATTTGGATGGTCAAGCTAAACACGAAGTTGTAGATGAAGGGAATGAACCAATAAGAAACATATCCAGCAGCGCCTGCAATAGAGTCTGCCTGTCCAAGAAGTTTGAAGATTGGGGTGGCAAAGATGAAAAAGGGGAGCAGGATTGTCAATGTCACCAAATCAACAATCCATGATCTTTGCAAGTAAATCCCCATCATATGATACTGCCCGGCTCCATATGCTTGCCCACATAGAGTTTCTGTTGCACTCGACATTCCTAACTGCAATTAATTAATTAAAACTCATCACAGATCAGATCAGATGGATATGGGTACAGAATTGAAATATAATGCATATGCATGCATGCAGTATAGTTACCAATATTCCATTCACAAATCGGACGGTGAGAGTTTGAACAAGAGCATAACCGGCGAGATCAAGTTCACCGATGTGGCCAATGAATGACTGTGTGACTACTATGCTTCCAAATGAAGCCACCCGTGAGAGTACACCTGGCAATGCAACTCTCCATATCTTCCTTGATTCATCGTATACCCTAACTTTCAGATCATCATTTGTCTTATCTACTTCAGAACTAAGCAGCCTTTCACTTATGCCATTATCCATAGCTCTATATTACACAACAGCATTTAATAATTAGCAAGAAGTAAAACAAACATTTATTTGTGTATATTTATTTACAAATTTATTCATGTGTATACGACTTATTTTGAGGCATCAAAGTAAAATAGTTTTCTAATTATAAAGATTATCATTAACTAAACAAGTTAATACGGAGTATTAAATATCTTTAGTTTTAGCTAAATCCAAATTGAGCACATTTTTTATTGTGGATAATTCTACAAGGATAAAAAAATTATGCAGGTTATGAAAATTTTTTGTCCTTATAAGTTATATAACATAATGCTTTCAATAATATGTAGAAGTAATAGTTTAAGGGGTAATATAATAACCTAAGCTAATGTAATCAAACATTCCATAATTAAATGCTTTCCAGTTTCCAAGCTTTTTAAAGATAAATTGGTTTATAGGCAAGGGCAAAAAAATAAATTATTAAAAGTATATGTAGTCAAGTGCAGACTGCATAGCAATGTTAACTCCACTTGCATGGACAACTCAGTTAGTCACAAAGGAAAAGTTTAAAAAGAATGACTAGAGTTTTGCCATCTGTAGTGTAGAGCAACCTCTCAAAATGAGGGAGTCCTTGTGGCGCAGTAAGCAAGGTCTAGCATATGTGTTAGTTACATAGATTTACATCATCCCAGATACTCTAAAAACTCTAAAGAGTTCTATTACATGTACTCCCAAATCTTACTCTCTTAATTTTTATTCCCTTATGTGACGGATACCGATAAACTATTCTTCCATGTAAGTCCAATACAAATATCTACCTCAAAATTTTATGTGTGTGAGTAAACATTAGGAATATAAACAGAAATACACATAGTACTTTCCCATTATAATAAGTTAACAATGTCATAGATAATTACATAGATCAGGTTTATACAAGAATACAATATAATATTAGTAAAAGCCCAGATTTTTCAACGATTGGTTAAATGGGGAAAACATATATATTAGGGAAAATAACACTTTTTCCTTTTAAATTATATACTTATAGTACCTTTTTTTTGCCTGAATTGTTCAAATGGCTGTTATTCCCTCTGAAATATTAAATGAACATATTTACCCTCCTTAAAATAAATATTTTATATACTTTTATTCTCCAACAAATTATGACTATAATTTGGTTCAAACCAAACAGACACTATAGCAACCAAACCGAAATATTCCAATTACAATTTAGAATCGAAATCCAATATTTAGAGTTTATTAAAATCGCGAACCAGAACGGTCAAATCATGTTCTGAACTGAAAAAATAAAATACATTTATTGTTGAATTTAGATTATTTTAAAATAAAAAATAAAATTTTAAAATAAAGATGGTTCAAAATCGCCAACCGAATCCGGAACCGTCGGTTCACTGTTCAGGATCTAATTTTTTTAATTCATAATTTTAATAAATTGAAATCCAAATATTGGGTTCTAAATCTGAATCATAATCATAAATTTTTAATTCCATTGTTATAATGTCAGGTTCAGTTCGAACCGAACCGTGGTCATCCCTACGTATACGTAATAATTTGTTGGAGAAATAAAATAAATAAAATATTTACTTTAAGGGTAGAAATGTCAATTTATTAATATATCAAGGAGAAAAATTATCACTTTTATAATAATTGAAAATGCTAATATGTTTACCTACATAATTTAGAGAGGAAAAGTGCTAATGTCATTTTTCCTGTATATATTATAACTTCTTTTCAATTAGTGCGCACTAATTTGGTTTGAACATTTATCTTGAATAATTGCGACAACACTTTACGTTTTCCTATGGTCTTTCAATCACCACCAACCGCCATTACAAACGTTAGCCACACAGATACAGATGTAACATTATTACAGTAATTAATTATTCTGACAATTTGATGGCCGGCGGGATCATGCTATGCACAAAAGGTGTAGCTTGAAACCATTATCGACACGGAATAAAAAATATATGGCTGCCAATACACCCAACAAATTAAATGCCATAAAGTGCAATAACCAAAACAATAAAAGCTGGTCTGGATGCCCAATGTGGTGAATGTGGTCATGTTATTCCCACGTCCACGATTCATCATGATACAGTTGTCAAAATTATATGAAATAGTAATACTTACCAATAAAAACGAATCTTATTTTTGTGATAGTAATAATAATAATAATGGTATAAAAGGGCAAGGAGTAATTCTAAATAGTAAATAGCTAGCAAGTGGCAAGTAACACAATTATGGCTAGACGTGACACCTTTTTATTTACTACTCCAACGAAATTGACCGTTAAATAATAAAACAATCATTATTATGTGAACTATAAATATAAAGTACTAAAAAGATATATTATTTGAGTATTAAAAATATATTATTTTATATAATATATATTTTATACACAAATAATACACTTTTTATGATTCACACAGTACAATACAGATCATGGTCCATATAATAATTTGTAGTAATAAAATATGTAGGCTAAAAAGAAATTATCTTGCATGTGGAGCAATAACCATTTTCCAATACAAAAATAGTTTGAATGGATCATGCAAGCGTATAAAATCTCGACCATAGATTCTGGTCCATTCTGCATACTTCCAAGATTCACTCTTCTTAAAAAGGTCGAGTCTACGAGTCTACAACGTAGTACTCCGTCGTATTTTTATTTCCCACGAATAATTCTATGCCACGTGTCCTGTAGAGTGCTTCTTAATTACTGTAATAATTTATGTTTTTTTGCCCAAAAACAAAAAAAGAAAGATAACAAAAATTAGGCATGTCTACAAAAGATGCCGAGTGCCAGGTCACTGCCAAATTTCTTCAATCCCACTTGAAAAAGGTGACTATTTGTCTATTTTTGTTAATAATTTTATTTTGTTATTTTTAGATACACACAAGCAAAGGGATGACTCACTGACTTCTCCTTCTCAGGGATAGTTTTCTACTCTTCTGCGCTCATAATTTTTATAATTTAACACAAAGATGGTGAGGACTCTAAAATTCAACGGCAGAAGATTAAAAAAAGGAAAAAAAGAAATCGAGATTCCGATATGATATAGAAGAAGAACAAGATCCAAGTTTAACGCTCCACACCGCCGAACCAATCTTTTGTTGTCGCATACTATGTGGAGTTTATGTTACCACCGTTGCAGAAAGCAAATCGGAGAATTCGTAAATAAGAGCAAGAAGGATTATTTAGCATATATTATATGCAGATATAGTATAATAGGCATCTTCATGGAGCTGAGGGAAAGTATAAATTAAAGCATATATAATTGCACTAACATGCATAGACAAACAAACACCGTGCTCGGTACGAGGTATGTAATAGACTTACGTGAATTGAGAGAGGCCGATTTATGGCCGGCCGGAATTTCTGCTCTTCTTCGTCTGAAGCTCCTCCGAGCAGCGAGACTGAGAGAGAGAAGGAGACGAGATGAAATGATCTCATAATATGGTTCAACCACTCCTATTTATGGTGGACTTTCTTCATCGGTTTATCATTTTTAAATTAGAAAGCTTACTAAAGGAAGAAGACTAAATAATTAATATATTATCAACTATACTATATAGTGTAATAACACGCTTTTTTTTTTATCATCATAAATGGTGTTTATAAAATCGAACTCAATAACAAATCTAGATTAAAGTTTAAAATAGATATTACATCGTAAATAATTATGAATATTTTTAAACAATAATTATATATCTTATTTTATGTCATTTCTGATTAGATACAATCGTATACATATGTATACTGACGGTTATTTAATGAAATGGGTTTCTGAGTTATGGAGTTCATATTATTCTTTTTCCCTTTTCCCTTGTATGTATTATGTATCGTCTTATAAGATTTACACTCAACTACCTATAATTTATAACAATTCTTTTATATAGTATAATAATATTTTACCTAATACGACTTCGTACTTGCAAGTTGCAACATTATACAGTTCCCTTCGTGAAATAAAATAATTTGCGGCTATAGGTTGGTCGTGCCATTTATGTCAGTACACGGACAACACTGGTTGATGGATTGTACTATGAGGAGTTTATTATTTCATTTATTTTTTTTCCTTAAATTCGTCACGTAGTATTCAGTCCTCTTCCTGCTGGTTTTTTTTTTTTTAATTTTTTTTTAATTTTTTATAATAATATTTATTTCCTTCTTCTTCTTTTTTTTTTTTTTTTTTTTTTTTAGTAAATAGGAAGGACATTAATATATGGAACATTTCAAAAATAATAATTTATTTATTTCCCTGTTATCTCTTACGGAACATTAAATATATGGAGTATTTCAAAAATAATAATTTTTTATATGGTGTTTCCCAATATGTTTTGAAATTCATATACCTAAAATTAATATTTTAAAATATAGAGTTAATTCAAAGAATAATCTCTTAGTTGTTGATATTTATTAATTTTTATTCTCAATTTAAATTTAATCATAAGTAGCTCATTGACTATTAATTTTGTTACATATTTAGTCATCTAGTTAATTTTTTAGTTAGTAAGCGTTAAATTTAATGGTAAAAATGTAAAAATTAATCTGTAATTGAGATGGATGAATTAGGTTCATAAAGTTCACACATTAGGTTCATCATAAGTTGGAATGTGAAGACCAATTTGATCCATAAGCCAATTTGGATCAGGCTAATGATAAGTCTCTACCCCAATTTTGAGACGATTATATATTTTGTTTAACACCATTAAATATGTAAATATAGATAAGCGATTCTACTAGTTAATTTTTACATATTTACCCTCAAATTTGATACATATTAAATGAATATTTAATCGGATGACATATGGAACAAAATTAATAGTCAAGTGACCAAATTAAATGTTGTCAAACTGAAAGTCAATGATACAAATTCATAAATATCAGTAGTCAATGGATCATTTCTAAAATTAACTATAAAATATATTATACAATGGCAAAAACTTTTGTGACACCGTCTCACGGATCTTTGTCTGTGAGACGGGTCATGTCAAGATTAAGTGTAATACTTATACTAGCAAATGTAATACTAAATCATGAATAAAATGTTTATTACTTATATGAGAAAATGTAATACTTTTGAGGACAAATGTAATACTTTTACATTTTTATATAAAATTATTACATTTTTCTAAGTGCAACATTACTTACAAGCAAAAATATAATGCTTACATCAAAATATAAAGGTATTACATTTGTTATCAAAAGTATTATGTTTTCCTTTATAAGTAACTAACATTTTACTCCTGATTTAGTATTACATTTGCTAGTATAAATATTACATTTGCATAGTAACTCGATTCGACCCGATCCGTCTAACAGATAAAGATCCGTGAGAAAGTTTCACACAAGTGTGATCGTTATACTATTGTTAATTCATAATATTTCCAAACGATAAATTATTTATTTTCTAATAACAGCAATATAATTAAAATAGTACATTTTAGCGAGCACCATAATAATGCATTAAGTCACAATCATCTTATGTAACCTATTAAATATAGTTAATAAGGCATAGTTGTGCATTAAGTCACAATCATCTTATGTAACCTATTAAATATAGTTAATAAGGCATAGTTACTTTTTAATGATTTGGTCGAGTGGTATAAACACGTAACTTTAAAATAAAAAATTACAAATTCACTTCTTATTTCTCTCAAATTTATCCTAAAATATGATGTAGTGATATTTATTTATTTTTTTACATCGAATAAGAGGGTCTATACCTCGAGAGGGAAACTAGTTCCTGTCACTATGAATCAAAGTTGCACGAAGGCAATCATTATTAATACTTTCTTCCAAACTCAGGGGACACCAATTTAGCTCATTTCATTCCTCGTTTAAGTTCACGCCCAAGTCTGCAAGGGTGATGTAGTGGTACTTTAAAAAGAGAGATTGATAAATTTATAAGTCATTTAACAATTTAAAAGGGGAAAAGTTATTGACTTATTTAGTGTGTTTTGATTTACAAAGTTGGAGATTGGAAGGGAAAGCGCCAACATCTTTATGTATGATTTGGAGAGTACTATACAATAGTGGGGTTATTCTGTTCATACCTTTAAAAACTAGTTATGAGTTGTTACCATTAAAAAAAATAATAATAACAATAACAACAAAAATTTACAATTTTAAAATAAATGGTCGAGTTATTGTTATACATACAAATTACAAGTTCAAATCTTGTCAATATCTTTTGAATTCATTATACATGATTTTTTTTAGTCTGATTTATATGTCTTATATGATTTGTAAGCTATTTTGATAAAAACTAAAATAAAATTAGAGTGGTGTGGTGTGGTTTGTACTTGCAAATGGATATTTATTGCGATGTGAGTGTGGGGACCCTTTTCATTTATTTTATCTGTCAATCACCCAAAAGGAGAGGCATAATTTTTGGGTGGGTGGAAATGTGACACATTGCTACTTAATTTTATTTGGATTTTATAAACAACAGAATATTCTTCTTCATACACTGATACAAGTTTTTAAAAAGTAATGCAAATTTTCACTCTCAATCTTTTCATTACCAAAAAGACTTATATAGAATCTACAAAAACCAGCTTTATACTTTATAAAAATATGTAATACAAATTAATAGAGGATACAGTGATACACTAATAAATTTCCTACAATATTTCTCTTTATCATATTGACTTGGAAACTTTTGAAATTGTTTAATTTTTTAAAAGAGATTTGAGTGTTGTGACATGATAAACTTTAAATAGTTTAATAGTTATATTAAAATTGAATTTTAATATAACTATTTTTGTCTAGTAGCATTCAAAAAAATAGTTATATTAAAATTGAATTTAAATGGAAAAAAAGTATTTATAAACTAGTTTGAATCAAGTTAGTGAGAATTAATAATAAAATTAATAAAACTATAAATAATAACAAATGATACTACACATACTCTCATTTTCTATTCTATTTTTTAAATAATATTTGCTATTATGTTATTTTTAATTGATTAAAACAAAAAGGGATCATCGTTTTATTTCTCATTGTTCTTCACTAAATAAAATTTGAGCACACAACATGAGTTACTCAATAAGAGTACATCTATTATCAGGGACAACCTAACCAAATTGGTCCAACAGTTAACTTGGTAATCATAAAATTTTAATTTTACTTTGCATTAAAATTGTATATTGGTATATTCTTAGTTTGAGGTGATTAATTATGTGTAATTAGACTAATTTAAATAGTGATTTACCTTCTTATCATCATTTGTTGACAAATATCACAAGATGAATTTTATTTAATACACCCTTCAAGTAACGGTTACTTGTTTTTTGGTAAATAAAAGTTTACATCTAATATGAAAAGGGGTTAGGTAAAGTTTACGGTAGAGAGACGACCACACATGCATGGTATAGTAACGTTGATTGGTTGGTGGAGTGTGAGGCCAGGTTGACCGCAGGTACTTGGGTGGGTTTTTTGTTTTTTGTTTTTTTTTTTGTTTTTGTTTTTTGTTTTTTGTTTTTTTTATTTTTGTTTTGTTTTTTTGTTTTTTGTTTTTTTTGTTTTGTTTTTTTTTTTGTTTTTTTTTTTGGGTTTTTAATCATGAAGTGTTACGTGTCTTTCTTCTTTCGTCTTATGGTCCTAGTACTGTCGATTGATCATTGCTTACCCTAAGAGGCACAAGAACTAACTTAGGGGGAATCTCTACTTGTGAAAATTGAACTTAAATTATTCTAAGATTCTTTCTCACAAAGAGAGTTTATTTGATACTCGAACTACCCGTTAGGTTTGGGTGGTTGGTTTATCCTTCTTTTAAGTCGGGAGATGACGAAATGTTGACTGAAGGATTTAAGCAATTTATTTATAAATATAAAAGTTCATTTTAACCCCACAATTATATGCATGTCATCATTCATCAATATATCATTTTATTTTTTTTCGTACAACTTTATTAACATTATCGTCTATCAATTTTTGTTGTTTATTATTCATTTATATATAAGTTTTCAACCAAAAAAATCAATCTAATGTTATGAAATTAATGAATTGTCCCAAAATGCAATGAAAATTATTACAAATATAACTAAATATAATATAACAATATTAGTAAAAGCATGAGATTAAATAAAAATGCAATATGTGAATTGAATGAATGCATTACAACTGCGTACTCTAACTTCATCAAATATCTCTGTCAGTCCTACAGGTATGCTAAAGTAGTTGTGGTGCATTCATTAATGTTTTCACCTAAGACATAGTTCTTATTGAAACGGGACTATTATACATAAAAAGTGTAGTGAGTTTTTATTACAAATGATTAACAGAACAAATTACATTGTAACCACTAACCTCTAATATTAGTTTTATCTCTCTCTCTCTCTCTAACACACTTTAAATATATTTTTTAATTTCATCATCTCATTATAATGAACTATCTAAGTAAAGTAATCTAAAATTTTAATTTGTACATCATCGTATTTACATTAATTAGTTTAAAAATATTTAGAGTTGATCTAATTGAAATAAAAAGTATTTATAAATATGTTAATAGAGTTGGTTTACAATTTATTCCAAACATTTTATATTTTATTATAAATATTCTTTTATCACGTTTTGAAATTTTATTTTTCATCCCCGGTGATTAAAATTTTTGACTTTATCCCTGACTATATGTTTTATATATAAGTGATATAAAGAGAGTAAAAATTAGTATTCAATATTTATGTGATGGAACATATGATTAATTACATCAATTTTTTTTTATCAAAGTTATATAGTATCTAGCAGACACACATGGCTTCTATCACACATTATAATCGTAGGTTTATGAAGATCTTATGGGGTATAATATTATAAATGAGATATTGATCTTTTTATAATAATATATTTAATATAAGTTTTTAAAATATAAAATTTACACTCATGCAAATAAGTTATATGAGATAGTGCTCGTTTTATTTTGATTAATAAGTCAATAACTCATTATTGTATGTGGAATTTAAACATGAGAAAAGTGAATTGGGTCATCTAAATCATGAGCAGGTCCATTTCAGTCTATGTTTGTGATGATAGTATGTTCATCATTCATTTTCCAACAGCCTGGAATTGGACGATCCAAGCTAAGAAAAGCGCATTAATTATTGTCAAACTTTTTCTTCTTCACTATATATAATTGTAGCTTCTGTAATGCCAATTAAGTAGACACTGTGTCAAATATATATTAAAACCATAACTTTTTTGAATAATTAAGAATGTATATTTCAACAACTGGTAAAAAGTTAGCGATTAAAACGACTAGTAAGGAATCATTGAGGACTAAAAATGCAATTTTTTTTTTAATGAGGCTTAGTGTAAACTTTTAAGTCGACTTTATTAACTTAAGGCGTGTATTCAATTTTGACTTTTAGGGGGAGTTTGGTTGGATGGAAAACATTTTCCATGGAAAATGTTTTCCTAAAAGTGAAGGAAAATGATGTTTTATGTTGTTTGATTGGATGAAAAATATTTTTCATTGGAAAAAGTTGTCCTTAAAGAGGAAAATCAATTCCTAGCTCATCCTAGGTATTTTGTTTTTCATGGAAAAAGTTTTTCATGGAAAACTAATATGACAAACTTACCCTCACCATTCTTTATTAATTACTCTTATTGTTATTATATTATTATTATTGTTGTGTAGGGTTATACTTGTCATTATACTCATTATTCCTTACCATTCCAAACTCAATCAAATAATGGAATTCATATTCCGGTAATTTCTTTTCCACCAACCAAACAATGGAATCTATTTTTTCTTGGAATTTATTTTCCATGGAATTTCAATTCCATTTACCTTCAAATATTTTCTAGCGAACCAAGCGAGTTGTCATAGATTTTTAAAGACTTTTATGAACTTTACAGGGCGTTTGGTTGGAGGGATTTTAAATTCCCTTCCCACTTAATTCCCACCTAATTCCAAAGGCCATTAAATTCCGTAGTTTGGTTGGAGGGAATTGCAATTCCCCCATTTTCATGGAATTAAAATCCCATGTCCCCCCTGGTATTTTAATTCCTGAGAAAAAAAGATAGTAATGAGTCAAAATTACCCCTTCATTTTTTAACCTAAAATTAATGTCTAACAACAATAATGGACATTTTTTACTTTATACTACTTATTCCCTTTCAATTCCCATGTATACCAAACATTGGAATTGAAATTCCCAGTAATTCTATTCCTGTCAACAAAACACTGGAATTTAAATTCCCACTTTATTCCCAGTAATTCAACTCCCATGGAATTACAATTCCTTTCCCACGTAATTCCCCCTCTCCAACCAAACGCCCTGTTAGGGTGCAATGTTTAGTAGGATGGGAATTGCAATTCCATTCCTACCAAACTTCATGGAATTGCAATTCCATGATTTGGTTGGAGGGATTTGTAATTCCGTGTGGAATTACAAATCCCTCCAACTATAGAATTGCGTCCTCCCTAGGAATTGTAATTCCACAAAGTGTGGAATTGTAATTTAGTGTTGAATTACCATTTTATCATCATCATCATCATTATTATTATTATTATACATGACATTTTAGTCTTTTTTCACGTTTCCCTTTCAAGTCCTAATCATTCTATTCCTTCATATAAAAAATGTAATTTAAATTCTCACTTTCTATTTTTCACGCGAAATTACAATTCATTTCTCCCTAGTTCCCTCCTTTCAACCAAACGCCCTGTAAAAGTTTGGAGGTTTCAATTCGAACTTTTAGAGAGTCTTTAAGAATCATGAGGTATTCAGTCAATATTTTTAAAGGATTTTAAAAAATCGGGTGATATTCCATTAAGATTTTAAAAGTCATGCAATATTCAAAAAGTTATGAACTTTTGTAGACTTTTTAATTTTAGACTTTTGTAGACTATTTTTTTTTCCAACTATAAATAGTTGAAATCCAATCATCAATTTCAATATTTTAAATTTTTTATTTCTACCAACTCTGAATGTTTTTCTCTATATTTAAACTCTATTTTGTATTCATTTTTTTGGTAAGACCTTTCATATTTAAACTTTATAAACCTTATACCTAATTTAATAAATTATTTTTTCTTCATATCATACTCTACCATTTTTTTTTTTCTCACCTAAACTTTACAATTTTACTCAAAAAATTCTAAATAATATTATTTCCTATATATTATTAATATATATATTTTAATTTATGCAACTAGTAATTATATTTTTAAATATTTTATTTGAACAATTATGTTACTATAAATTTTAGTATTTAATATTATCATGAATCATGAATTTCTTATAGTAGTTTTTGTATGCTTAAGAATACTATATAAGTAATTAGCATATAACTCTCATCATACAATTGATAAAAATATTAATGTTGAGAATGTTGGTGTGAGTGAAAAACTATATAATAATAAGAATTTTATGATATATATTGTAATATGTTTTGTAAGGAAATTATAAATGTTACGAATCGAAATCATTGAAAGCTTGTAAATGTATTGAATTTAGAATTTCAATGACTTTTGTATATTTTTTAAAATAAAAAAAAAGTTAATAAAAATTTATGAATATTATTTATATAGACTTTTATAGAGCCTACAAAGTTCTAAAAAAAAAAAATTGGACGCTTCTATGAAAGTGAATAAAAATTTATTAAAATATATCATTTTAAAAGTTTACAAAAGTGATAATTGAAATTCATTTCGCAACTTAACCTTCTCCAGTTAACTATATTAAAATAAGCAATTTAAATTTAAGCATTTGTGCCATTATTGGATTGTACCAATACTGTTTCATTATTCACAATTGAATCAATAATCCAACAATGTCAAATTGGACTTTAAAAAAATTAAATCAAATTAGAGAAATATACAATTTTTAATCGCTCAATTATTTATTGTTAACTATTTTAGTTCATAATTTTTTACAATTGTAATATAGGGAGTACTTTTTTAACTTTTCAAAAAAAAAAGTACAGTTTTAATATTTAGAGAGTGTTTGGTTTAAATTATACAACATAACCGAGGGAATGTGAGAATATACTGAAAATATTTATTTTAATATGGTATTTAATAGGGATTTTTGGTGTTTTGATATAAAATAGGCTGAAAATTACCTCAGAAAAAAGTCGTGGGAAATAAATTGTTTTTGAAAAAACAATTAACTATTAGCGACCCTTTATTCTAAAAAGTCTAAAAAGGGTCGCCAAAAATCTTTCGAATTTCTTTGTTAAAACTTAATTAAAACCCAAACGGTCGCTTTTAATCTACTCGATTTCCATAATATCCCAGATTTCCGATAGGGTAAGATCTATTTTTCGAACATCATTATTTACAAAATTTCCAAATTGTAATTAAGCAATTGCCTCGCCGTTTTCTTCTTCTCCAAACAAGCCCTAGATCCCACCGCCTAGATCCCACCATTCCCCATGGCCTCCACTCCATCTCTGTCGCCTTCGCTGACTATGCTACTCTCCCTTTCCTCTCGCCATTTCCGGCGGCCAAGCCCTCTCCGTCGCCAGATCGGGGGTTTGGTTCGTTGTCCCGGTGAAGAACGGGTGGTAATCACCCGGGACTTCGGCGACCTTTGCTGGTTTTCTCGGCGATCTTCCGGCAGTTGCATGTAAGATTGTTCGCCCTATCTACCATTTCTCTCTTGGTTTTTATTGTTTGATATCTTTCTACTCCAGGGTTTTTGTTGGTACAGAATAAGAAGACCTTGTCCGAGGTTTTCGCCGAGTTTATCAGGTCGCGGCGGTGATTCCCGTACGATTTTCTGGCCGAGCGACTTGTGGTTCGGAATCAATAGATTTCTTCTCGTTTCGTGACTTTGGTCAGAGCGGAGGATCTACCTTACTTCGTTGAGGTTAGATTTACTACGGGCGATTTGGTTGATTTTACCAGTTTCTTGAATTCATTGTTTTTTTTTTTTTCCTAGAGTTGTTCATACTCTTGGTGGCAATTTTGGACTTCTTAAACATGGGTTATTATTATAATTATAATTATAATTATAATTAATCATAATTAATAATAATAATAATAATAATAATATTAATTAATAATAATAATAATAATAATAATAATAATAATTATTATTATTATTATTATTATTATATATTATATATTATATATTGTAATGATGATGCTAAATATTATAGTTGTATTTTAAAAATTTTCATTCGAATTTTGATTAATTTGTGTTTATTTTTGAAAGTATATTTTAATATGTAAAAAAATATAAACAAGGTGCAGGCATACAAAAAATATAAACAATATTAACAAAACATGTTGGTTCAAAATGAGAATTCTCCACTATTGTTCAGTATCTATTGTGTTTTCCAGTTTGTGCAATAATGTCAATTAGTAGGCTTACAAGCAACAGTTTTCATTTTAAAATAGTATATTGGAGGCCACCCATATAACAACCCATGTGTCGCCAAGCATGAATGGTGGATGAAGGAGTGTTCTTATTAGTTTTAAAAATAATTTTCAAGTATTCTTTTTAGTTTGAAAAATGATTTTCTAGTGTTATTTTTATTTTTAAAAATGATTTTCAAGTGTTCTTTTTAGTATTAAAAATGATTTTCATGTGTTTTTTTTAGTTTTTAAAATGATTTTCAAGTGTTCTTATTAGTTTTTAAAATGATTTTCAAGTGTTATGTTTAGTTTTTAAAATGATTTTCAAGTGTTATGTTTTTTAAAATGATTTTCAAGTATTCTTTTTGGCTTTTAAAACAATTTTCAAGTGTTTCTTTTTAGTTCTTAAAATGATTTTCAAGTTTTCTCTTTAGTTTTTAAAATAATTTTAAAGTCTTCTCTTTTAGTTTTTAAAATGATTTTCTAGTGTTTTTCTTAGTTTTAAAAGTGATTTTCAAGTGTTCTTTTTAGTTTTAAAAATTATTTTCAAGTGCTTTGTTTGGTTTTGAAAATTATTTTCAAGTGTTTCTAGTCTTCATGCAGTCACCTGAATCCATGCGTTCCATTTTTTGAAACCCTGCATTGAGTGCTAAGAACATCATTCTTGGACTGGTATATTGAATTTATTTTGTAACATTCTGGAATCTGGCTAATTTTTTCTTGATCATTTCTCAGGATGAGCGCTGCTCAAAGTTGAAAATTTATCCAATCTTGCAGAAGGTATGCTCCTGCTTGTTTTGAATCTGTAAATTCTGCATTCTGCTCTACCTCCTACACGCTCTAACTGTTCATCCAGTGAAATATTTACTTAAGTAATACTGGTATATTCATGTATTCAGCATGTAAGTGGAGCACAAGAATCATCTTGGTTGCCGCCATAATATGCATTTTCACTTTTCAGATCTATCTAGAGAGAATTCCGAGAAAACTTGAAGTTGATGCTTTTGCTGAAGAACTAAAACCATACCATGTTTTCTTTTATTTGGTTTAAGTACTGTTAATATTTATATGATTTCAAGTGCCTAAAATCTAATTCTTAACCTAATTGTTACACCAGCAAGCACTTCTGCCAACTTTACTGTTCTGGATCGTGCCATGATTGAGCGTAACCTACTGAGTGCTAGCAAACTTTATACAAATATAAGGTAAGAGGCAAAGGGATAATACTATTTTCTTTCATACCATTGTTTTATAGATTTCCCCTTTGTTGTTTCCAATTTCCCTATTATTGCTTTGTTACTGCTCATTGGATGTTGCTAATAACTTTGTCCTTGTTCATCTATTGGGCAGCTTTGATGAGTTGGGCACACTGTTGGGAATTCCTCCTCAGAAGGTACCACACTATCTTCAAACAGTCCTGTTAAATTATAGAACATCATTACTTGGCTTGTAGTTATATGTTTCATGTTCGTTTACAATGGAGGAGGCCAAGCTCAATCCTCATGGTCTCTTATATTTCTGCTAAAGAAATTTGCACTTTGAGTTTTCCAATGATTTTCAGATAAGATCTTTCTCTCTTTTTTATTGTTCATTATGTTTTTATTTGGTGTTCTTTCTACTTATTTTTAGTTTTGTTGTGTAATTTCATAGTTCATTTTTCAATTTTGTACTTATATTTCTAATAAAATTTCTTTTCAAGTTATTTTTAGTATTCTTTTTAGTTTTTAAAATGATTTCAAGTGTTCTTTTTAATGTTTAAAAATGATTTTCAAGTGTTCCTTTTAGTTTTAAAAATGATTTTCAAGTGATCTTTTTAGTTTTACAAATGATTTTCAAGTGTTCTTTTTCGTTTTAAAAATGATTTTCAAGTGTTCTTTTTCATTTTAAAAGTGATTTTCAAGTGTTCTTTTAGTTTTAAAAATGATTTTCAAGTGTTCTTATTATTTAAAATGATTTTCAAGTGTTCTTTTTAGTGTTTAAAAATGAGTTTCAAGTGTTCTTTTTAGTGTTTAAAAATGAGTTTCATGTATCCTCTTTAGTTTTAAAAATGATTTTCAAGTTCTCTTTAGTTTTTAAAATGATTTTCAAGTGGTTTTCTTAGTTAAAAAAATGATTTTCAAGTGTTCTTTTTTAGTTTTAAAAATTATTTTCAAGTGTTTTGTTTGGTTTTAAAAAATGATTTTCAAGTGTTTCTAGTCTTCATGCAGTCACCTGAATCCATGCATTCTATTTTTTGAAACCATGCATCGAGTGCTAAGAACATCATTTTTGTATTGGTATATTCAATTTATTCTGTAACATTCTGGAATCTTGCTAATTTTTTCTTTGTCTTTCCTCAGGATGAGTGCTGCTCAAAGTTGAAAATTTGTCCAATCTTGTAGAAGGTATGCTCCTGCTTGTTTTGAATCCGTAAATTCTGCATTCTGCTATACCTCCTACACACTCAAACTGTTCATCCTAGTGGAATATTTGCCTTAGTAATACTGGTATATTCATGTATTCAGCATGTCAGTGAAGCACAAGAATCATCTTGGTTGCCATAATATGCATTTTTCACTTTTCAGGTCTATCTAGAGAGGATTCTGAGAAAACCTGGAATTGATGCTTTTGCCGAAGAACAAAAACTACACCCAAAGGGTTATCTTTTATTTGGTTTAAGTACTGTTAATATTTATATGATTTCAAGTGCCTAAAATCTAATTCTTAACCTAATTGTTACAACAGCAAGCACTTCTGCCAGATAACTTACTGTTCTGGATCGTGCTTACGATTGAGCATAACCTACTGAGTGCTAGCAAACTTTATACAAATATAAGGTAAGAGGCAAAGGGATAATACTATTGTTTATTAGATTTCCCGTTTGTTGTTTACAGTTTCCCTATTATTGCTTTGGTACTGCTCATTGGATGTTGCTAATAACTTTGTCCTTGTTCATCTATGGGCAGCTTTGATGAGTTGGGCACACTGTTGGGAATTCCTCCTCAAAAGGTACCACACTATCTTCAAACAGTTATGTTAAATTATAGAACATCATTACTTGGCTTGTAGTTAGATGTTACAAGTTTGTTTACAATGGAGGAGGCTAAGCTCAATCCTCATGGTCTCTTATATTTCTGTTTTAGATATGATGCTCTGCTAAAGAAATTAGCGCTTTGAGTTTTCCTATGATTTTCAGATAAGATCTCTCTCTTGGATAATTTCTCTTTTTTATTGATCATTATGTTTTTATTATTTGGTGTTCTTTCTACTTATTTTTAGTTTTGTTGTGTAATTTCATAGTTCATTTTTCAATTTTGTACTTATATTTCTAAAATTTCTTTTTGAGTTATTTTTAGCATTAATTTTAGTATTCTTTTTAGTTTTTAAAATGATGTTCAAGTGTTCTTTTTAATGTTTAAAAATGATTTTCAAGTGTTCTTTTAAATGTTTAAAAATGATTTTCAAGTGTTTTTTTTTTTTTTTAGTTTTTAAAATGATTTTCATGTGTTCTTTTTAGTTTTAAAAATGGTTTTCAAGTGTTTTTTTTTTTTTTTTTTTTTTTTTTTTTAGTTTTAAAAATGGTTTTCAAATGTTCTTTTTAGTTTTTAAAATGATTTTCATGTGTTCTATTTAGTTTTAAAAATGGTTTTCAAGTGTTCTTTCTAGTTTTAAAAGTGATTTTCTAGTGTTCTTTTTAGTTTTAAAAATGATTTTCAAGTGTTCTTTTTAGTTCTTAAAATGATTTTCAAGTGTTCTTATTAGCTTTTAAAATGATTTTCAAGTGTTCTTTTTAGTTTTAAAAATTAATTTCAAGTGTTTTGTTTGGATTTAAAAACGATTTTCATGTGTTTCTAGTCTTCATGCAGTCACCTGAATCCATGTATTATATTTTTTGAAACCCTGCATTGAGTGCTAAGAACATCATTTTTGGACTGGTATATTGAATTTATTCTGTAACATTCTGGAATCTTGCTAATTTTTTCTTTATCATTCCTCAGGATGAGGGCAACTCAAAGTTGAAAATTTATCCAATCTTGCAGAAGGTATGCTCATGCTTGTTTTGAATCTGTAAATTCTGCATTCTGCTCTACGTCCTACACCCTCAAACTGTTCATCCCAGTGAAATATTTGCTAAAGTAATACTGGTATATAAATCAATATGTCAGTGGAGCACAAGAATCGTCTTGGTTGCCATAGTATGCATTTTTCACTTTTCAGGTCTGTCCCTAAATTCCTTATTCAATTTATCCTATCTCATAATTTCATTAAGCCCTAAATCCCTATGTTTTTCTTACTCTGTAATTTTATTGTTGAATTTTCCATATTTGAAAGTTTTGAATTTGAATATTTTCAAGTATTCTATAAAAAGTTGTATTGTGACAGTAAATGGATTTTAAGGACAGTTACCAAGGAGGTTGAAACTCGGGTAAGATTTTCGTTTTAGGAAAATGCTCTATCGGACCTCTTTAAAAGGTTAGATATCATTGATTAATTATTTCTTTCATGTTGATTTTAAGTTCAATAGTTCATATTTTCTTATGGAGAATTTTTTTTTTTGGTTAGTTTAACCTATTACATTTTAATAGTTTTGTAAGGAGAAAAATTCCTTGGCCGATCTTAATATTGATAGATTTTCCAACCTCCAACACACTCAAACATGTCAACATATTAATTCATGATCTCCCTTAATTGTATTACCTATTAGTGTCTAGTCTGTCATTTATCTTCCTCTTGATTCATCTTTCCCCTTTAGTAATTTTCATTTCCCTGATTTTTAGTATGCTTTTTGATCAATCTTTGTTTTCCTTGACATGTCTGAACAATTTTGCTATCTGGAAGATGCCATTTCCACTTCTAGTTCTGTAGCAGAAGCTACTTGAAATCCAGGCACAAAGAAGAGCTAGGGTCCACAAGATACGACTGGAAGAGGGTGCAAAAAAGGTTGCTGAAGAGCTTAAGAAATGTATACAAGCCCTTGTCTTCTATTCTAAGATGCACGCACGATCCATGACTCTGTTTGTTTATATACATATGTCTATTGGAATAACACTCAATGTTCTCATGCTACAAATCTGCAGATGGTCCAAATAATGACCCTAATGTTACTGGAGATCCATACAAGACACCTTTTGTAGCTAGACTTGTGAGTAGAGCTTATTAACTTCAATTTAAGCCGCAGTCTGTTTGTATATTGTAGGACTTTTTTGATTGTGTTGTTTTTGTTTTCAGAACTATGAGACGACTGAAAACAGAAATGAGGCATATGGTCCTATCAAGAGGGTAGGTATTACGACCCATTGTGGGGCTCAAGTTTCTGAAATTGGGTTGGTAAGGTGAAGTTTTATGGTCGGATAGCATTGCTGTTCCATAAATTTTATGCAAAGTTCCTATTTTATTACTCATCCCAAGTCATATGTTTTCTGGTGTGTCCTATATTCTAATTTCTCTAAAATGTATCACCATGTTTTATTTTTCCAAACCTTATTTTATAGACAGGTTGTTTATATGTTTTGTTGCCTCCTTTTGTGTCAGTATTGGTTGTGTCTTCTCTTTGCTTTCTTTTTTATTACAATTGATGTATTTTTCCAGTGGGAATATTTAATTCTAAGTACTTTTTTCAGTAAATTATTAGCATTTTTTCATGTAATCTTTTATACTTTCTAAAATGATTCAGTGTTATTTTTAATATATTTGATTTGATTTGATTTTTCTTTTTGAGTTTTTTGTTCTTTTCTTGTGTTATATTCACTTCCTTATTTTTAAAATTTACATTCTTAATATGATTTTCCTACATTTTTGGGTTCTTTTTGCTTTGTTATTTTTTATGCTTTTTTGGTTGTTTTTTTATGGTTCATTTTTATGGTTCAGTTTTTTATTTAACATTTTTTCTACAAAGCTTATTTTGAAATTAAGTACTTTTATATTTTTATAACTGTGAACGAGGAAACCAAGTAAATGGTAATATGGCATAAAAATTAGGTTCCTACCATATCAGTATAGCCAAATCAGGGTTTGATCCCTACATACTTTTGTGCAACCTTGTCCAAATCAGGGTTTGTTTGCATATTAGTCTACATCGGGCCCGGTTGCAGATTTAGGGGAAATAAACTGTTTTAGAGATCAGAGTATATTTCATTATAGAGACATGCACAGTAAAGCTCTAATGGCATTTCACCTCATCACAAGAAAAGGATGGAGAATGTTTGCAAAGTTGTGAAGAACTTTGCCTTGTGCTACATGGTTCATCGACAACAAACTGTCAGTTCCCAGTCCCAAAAATGCATATCAGATTTCGAACCACATGTCTGAATAATCTGAAAGAACCCTTGAAAATGCTATTACTTCTAACACACACACAAATCAGAGCTTTCTTGGAGGGTATTTAAAGAGCATGAGAAAATGGGAAACCAAACAAACTTGCTGGGGCTGCAAATCTTACTTTAGATTTCTTGTAGAGGGCATCATAGAAATCACGCTCTGCTTCCGACTGTTCACACTCAATGACTTGGATGTCAGTTGGTGGCAGGACAAGAATTGGACTAATTGAGCTGCCAGATAAGGCTTTGCCTCTCAAGTAAACTTTGAGTTTTCAAGAAAACTATTATAAAAAAAAAAAAAAAAAAAAAAAAAAAAAAAAAAAAGACAATGAACTACCTCCCTTCCTTGTCCTTTGTTTCCTTTGTTCTCATAAGCATTAGTGGCCTAAGAATTGCCTTGATCAGTTTCAATGCTCTCTGATCACCATTCTCATAAGGTCTCTGTATTAACTTATTCCACCTAAAAGATAGCAAACAATTAAGTAATTCAGTTAAACTTATTAGCATGTATATATACAGTTAGTAATATAGAAAACATACCATGCCCAATTGCACCATGGCTCAACATGCAAGAAACACAGAAGGCTGTAAAGATCTTGCAAATTATTCTGCAGCAATTAGTGAGGACATCATTAACATAAATCAGATTTCTAACAAATGAGACGGTCTTATGAAAGCCTCATTTTTTTAGGAAATATGATAAATGGGAACTTAGATGAGGAAACATACCTGAAGTCCATACCAGTGAGACACCACCTGCAATGTGCAGACAATGTGAATGCAGCCCTAGCACTCACAGTTCTCCAGGATTTTATGGTGAGTGCTTCATCCAGTTCAATTCGATGCCAATCAACTTCATGGAATATGCTACTCTCCGCATCCTAAATCACAGTTAAAAACTGGTTAATGCACATAGAACCAAATGAACAGAATACACTTTCAAGCTCATGGGAAAAACATTGATACTGATCTGAACCAACTTTATATACGAAGGAAGAACTCCTTTAGGAACTGAACTTATCGCACTAAACAATGCTTCCCAAGCAATCTGTAAAGGAGCACGGTAAGATAAACCAGTACATAGAAGTGCATTGTATTAATGTCATGCAATGAATCAAAATAATACCGTCACGGTAGCTGAATCTGAATCACTTTAAGTATGCAGAACTTTGTCTGATTAAATCCTGGAAGAATAAAACTTAAATAGTGTTAGCTAAAGAATGCAATACAAAGAAAGAATGTCACATTATCATAATGTAAAACAATAAATCATGCCTGAATATCTCCAACTCCTTTAAGAACCTCCGACAGCAAAAACTCGATACCTTCCTCATCAATTACAGTGACAACAGTTTCTGCTGCTTTCTTGGCGAGACTTTGAACCTCCTATATTTTCAAGGTAAAAGCATTACAAATGTAAATTATGCAACGGCTCAAATTTACAAATGAAATTAAGCAATGACTCAAATTTAAATGATGTGAATGAGGAAACCAAGTAAATGGCATTATGGGCATAAAAATTAGGTTCCTACCATATCAGTATAGCCCATTGCAGTGGGTAAAGCAGGTCCAGCAACCTCTGCTAAAGCTCCCAAAGAAAATACACTGCAAACGGTTTTCAACCTTAAAATCTGTTTCAAACCATCCAGAGCAGTATCAGAGATTTGATCATCATCAAGAGCGTGCAGAAGTGTCGGAACAATCTCATCAATTGCTTGCATTCCAGCAGTCTACACAAGGAACCATCATCAATTCATCATCAAACTAATATTCACACACCAAGAACTAACTAGTGGTACCTTGTAGAGAGAGCTGAATGCCAACCCTGCTGATTCACGAACCTCAGGTTATGCTATAACATCAGAAAATCAGTAAGAAATTTTTCATACAGGAAAGCAGAAAAATTGCTTCCTTCAATACAAGTAAACAATCTCAAACCTATCACAAAGTGCTGTCCGAATGGTAGGGATAAGCTTGTCCATGAAACTCAGCAACTGGCTCTTCCCAGCACTGGCCATCACATCACTTAAACCACTGCAAATACTATACCCTGAAATCAAGTTCCATTACATTAAAGGCTTTAGTAGATTTGAAGAATTCAACCAATGGTGAGAATAAGAGAAAGAAGAAGATACCACTCCAGAGTGCAATCAGTCGGACAACAAAGCAGGAATACCTGGAGGGAAATAGGAAGCACGCACAGGTTGAAGAGCTTTCCGGAGGCAAAAACCAGGTATTAGAAATTTAGAACTGGTCCTCCCTGCATGTTTGTATACATCACGAACCAACTTTATATACGAAGGAAGAACTCCTTTAGGAACTGAACTTATAACACTAGACAAATGCTTCCCAAGCAATCTGTAAAGGAGCACGGTAAGATAAACCAGTAAATTAAAGTGCATTGTATTAATGTCATGCAATGAATCAAAATAATACCGTCACGGTAGCTGAATCTGAATCACTTAGTAAAATAATCAGGGTGGATATCACATTTGGAGCCCCATCAACAAGATATAGATCACTGGTTTTGAATAAATATCCAATTAAGTACGCAGAACTTTGTCTGATTGAAGCCTGGAAGAATAAAACTTAAATAGTGTTAGCTAAGAACTGGAATACAAAGAAAAGAAAGTCACATTAGCATTATGCAAAACAATAAATCATGCCTGAATATCTCCAACTCCTTTGAGAAGCTCCGACAGTAAAGACTCGATACCTTCCTCATCAATTACAGTGACAACAGTTTCTGCTGCTTTCTTGGTGAGACTTTGAACCTCCGATATTTTCAAGGTGAAAGCATGACACATGCAAATTATGCAATGAAAAAAAAAACACAAATCAACTTAGAAACCAAGTAAATGGCATTATGGCATAAAAATTAGGTTCCTACCATATCAGTATAGCCCATTGCAGTGAGTAAAGCAGGAAGGATGGTACCAAGGGGGCCATCAAGACCAGGTCCAGCAACCTCTGCTAAAGCTCCCAAAGCATGTGCATTGAAGGCGCTGGATATAAAACCAAAGATCATTGTGAATAATAAAGAAATACTACTCTATAAAAAATAAAAATAAAATAAAAAATAAAAATAAAATAAAAAATAAAAAAAGCTATAAGAAATAGTCACAATACTTACGAAAGGGGAAGGTAGACAAGCTTGGGAAGGATATGAGGCAGGCAGAAATGTAAGAAAATACACATTTGCAAATGGTTTTCAACCAAGAAATCTGTTTTAAACCATCCAGAGCAGTATCAGAGGTTTGATCTTCCTCCAGAGCATGCAGAAGTGTAGGAACAATCTCATCAATTGCTTGCATTCCAGCAGTCTACACAATGAACCATCATCAAACTAATATTTAAAATATAAAAACTGGTATGTCAACAACACACCAAGAACTAACAAGTGGTACCATGTAGAGAGTGCTGAATGCCAACCCTGCTGATTCACGAACCTCAGGTCACGCTATAACATCGGAAAATCAGTAAGAAATTTTTCATACAGGAAAGCAGAAACAAAATTGCTTCCTTCAATACAAATGATGTTTCGTATCATACATAATAACTTCAATAAGTTGTGAATTAAGTAAGCGTTTCAAGATAATCATTGACGAGACAAATGTTTCATGTTTGACAAGATATGACATTGGACCGAAACAAAAAGAGTTGAGCAATCTCACATGAAAGCACTCTCTACCTAAAGGACAGAAGCAAACTCAATCATGAATAGGGGGAGGAAATGACCTATCAATCACAATATCTTCTTCAATCATATGACATGAACACTCAATCCATCTTCTTTACGAGTAAAATCGAAAGAAATTCTAGAGATTCAATGTCTCAAACAGAAGCAGGCATAATCCTAAATGTTCAGAAAGATCAAAGGGGAGCAAATGAAAAAGGTGCATACTTTGGAATATGGATGAAGGTTGGCCATCATGGATCATCAATCTTTACTCCAACTTCTCCAATTCATTCAAACTCTCTATGATAGCCTGCAGTTTCAGAAGAAATCAAACATCCATTTTTTCTGCAAAATCTATGCAAAGTACACGTCACTAGAACAAGGATAAGGCGCGAGAAAAATCCTTCTTCTCGCGATTACTCTCACCTTCTTACTTGTTTCTTGGAGCTCCCAACCGAGAACGAATTCATCTAAGATTAGATATACCTTCATAGGAAAACAATCAATCAGAAGTATAAATTACAATGCAGCATACACAAGGTGAATACAGTAGAAATAAAAGAAAATACAGAGATTCACAATGAGAAAGACTGACAAACCATACCTTGTGAAAGTTAAAAACCAAATCTAACTCGCAGACATTACTAAAAAAGTGATCCAGTATCTACACAAACAAGTGGATGCACTCCAAATAAGCCAACTCCCTGTCCGTCATATATCAACACAGAGCAAGAAGAATAGCCCAGCATACAGCCTGTAGATCATCTTGTGTGTTCAGAACTGACAGGAAAACATCAACTATTAAAAAGAATACTTTAAAACCCTAAAAATCATTTTAAAAATAACAAAGGGAAAAGAACCAAAAATAAAGGAAAAAAACATATCAAGAATGTAAATGTTAAAAAAAATAACTCTGAAAACTAATTAAAAATAACACTTCCAAATGCTGAAAATCATTTTAAAAACTAACAAGAACAGCGAAAAAAACATTTTAAAAACTATAAAGAATACTTAAACACACTAAAAATCATTTTTTAAATAATAACGGATAAAGAACCCAAAAATGTGGGGAAATCCAGGAATACAGAAAGGGAGCAAAGAACTACATAGTGATTAAACTTTATCTGCCAAATCTAACAAGTATTCAAAGAAAATACAAAGATTCAAAATAACACTAGCAAGTTTTTGTTGAATACTTACCATAGTAATTGACGAGTCGGCGAGGCCGGGGAGATCGCAGCAGTCTTTCGTAGTAAAGGGGTCTTCCAGGCGATGAAGAACTGGAGATTGGCAGAGGTATCTATATAAAGGGGTCAGTAAGTGTACGTTGGGCAGTTTCCAAAAAAAAAAAAAAAAAAAGTGTACGTTGGGCAGGCTCGACCGACTTCTTCCGCATTCTTCTCAACTGACAATAATGTATTTGTTGGGCAGTTATTTAGATTTTAAATTTTAGATATTTGTGTGTTTTTTTTTTTTTTTGAAAGCATAAATTTTTGTGTTATATTACTCACTTTGGTTTATAATCTATTTTTCAAACACCCCATAAATATTTCATGGAAAACATAAAGAAACAAAAAATTAGATAAAATAATAAATCATAAATGCGGTAAGTAATGTGTAATTATCATTATCATATCATAATTTAGTAGAATTATTATGATTGAATAATTAATATTTTTTTATGTGACAAACAAAAATAAAAAAAATTTGCAATCACTACATGATGGTGTATACAATGTAAGTTCTATAAATCGCAAGAAGAATACTTAGTGTGATGGGCTCAGTCAATAAAGTGTTTTTTATTATTATAGATTAATTTAACATAAATATAATTAATTTTTATTAAAGGATCTTTTACAATAAATAGCTACTATTGGCACTAACAAACAAAATTTATAATGTATAATGTTTAAATAAAAATACCGTAATAATTTAAATCTCATTCTTTTTTTTTGCCACTTTGACTCATATTCGGGTATTGAATTTTAAATATTTGTGTTTATACTAACTTTGGCTTATAATTTATTTTTCAAACACTCCATCAATTAAATTTTTATGAAAAAAAAAACTAATAGTAACAAAAAATACATGAGAGAATAAATCATATAAGTAATTTTATTTAATTTAAAAACAATGTGTAATTAAATATCAATATTTAGTTGAATTATTATAATTGAATAATTAATACTTATTTTTAGTACTGTTGATTTTGTTACAATGTATTATATGTTCATAATTACTTTCTCAAGCTTATACAAAAAAAAAAAAGTCAATACTGCCTCATTGGGGCTTAAACCCATGACGTCCCATTTAGAAGAACCACTTCGTACCACTAGACATTTTTATATGACAAGAAAATTGCAACCATTACATGATTTTATTTTTTATTTTTTTGCATAGGAGGGACCGGGAATACTATGACGGTGTATACCAATTTACAGAATTACATAGTATACATTTATAGTCCCTCGACTATAATACATGTATCAATTTTAGTTATTGACTATTAAAATTTTTAAATTAAGTGCATAACTATTCAATTTGTGTCACATTTAATTTTGCCTTTAAATTTTCTGGTCAAATTTCCAGTCAAATCACCGGTGACCGACTAATTTATTTATTTAATTTTTAAATTAAAAACTTTTTAAAAAATGAAAATTAAAAAAAAAAAAAAAAAAAAAAAAAAAAAAAAAGCCACCCCACCTCCTCTTCCTTCGTCTCCGGCAAAGACGAAGGATGAGGGGTAGGATGACCGTCGTTTTTTATTTTATTATATATATATTTTAAGATTTATAATTTAAAAATTATTAAAATATACTCTTAACATTTTAAAAAACTGTTAAACGAACTTATCCATGGGTCAAAGGGGCACAATATGTTAAGCATTTTTAATACCTATAATCTAGGTAACACAAAAATAGAAAAATACAAAATATGTAGCATGCACAGATATTTATGTATTTATAATTTTTAAAAAAAATATTAAATACTAATGGATTATTAGTTTCATTTCAATAAATGTATTTTTAAATCTATTAAAATTATGGAAACAATACTAAAATATTGAGTAAATACCGGTAAAGGTCCTCCGACTTTGGTGGCACTGTCATTTTTAGTCTTCAACTTTTAAATTAACCACTTTTAGTCCTCTTACTTTTTGTTTCTAGCCATCTATGTAGAGCATATTCTAAGATCCTGCCCAGAAGCGGATGCTGTTTGGAGATTAATCCTGCCCTCTTCGTATCCAAGTTGTGCCTCCAAATTGTTTGGGAGGTGGCTGGAAAAAGGATTTTTAGAAAGTAATGCACTCTTTGCAGTAACAGCATGGTGAATATGGAAGTGGAGGAACGGGGCGATCTTCAATAACTCTAAGAAGATGTTAAGCGTTGAGATTTCATGGATCAGATCACAGGAAGATGAATAAGCAGGGCCTTTGGAAGGGCGAAAGGCTTCTCGTCACAATCAGATCACTCTTTCGGGAAGCAGCTGTGTTGGATGAGTCCTCTGCAAGAGTTTGTGAAAGTCAACGTGGATGGTTACAGAGAAAGCTAACTGCCGGGGTGCTATTAGAGACTGCTATAGGGAGTGGAAGATGGGATTTACATATAGTATTGGCAGCTGTTCTCCGTTAGAAGACGCTCACCCTTAAAAACAACTAACAGGGAACAACTGAGAGACTACAAATACATTTTTTCGTTTTAAATTACAACCGAGATGAATAAAAACTAAATTAAAATCTCTCCTATGAAATTTAAAGTTGACACCACTAAATAACAAGGTTTGATGTCAATAGTGAAATACCATTTCATTAATCCGTGTGTTTGAGTCTCTAGTAATGACTAGGTAGTAGGGAATGAATACACAGCCACAATGGCAGTTCAGAAGAACTATTAACAAATTGTTTGTTCTGCTTTGTAGCTTATAACCTCAACTAATCAACAATAACTCCATTAACTACATCTCTGATCTTTATGTATACATTTCCTTCTACCAAGCCATACCAAGTGGACAACAGGGAACCACATCTTGATCACTGAGTTTCTGGTTGTGCTTCATCATCTTCATTGCTGTTTTTACTTCCCTGGAGTTTATCGTGTTCATGGTTTTCGTCATTTATACTTCTTCCCACTACCTTGTTGCCAGTTTCTTTACCCTCGAGCAACTCACCGACCATCTTCTTTGGAACAAGCTGCCCCACCTTAGCATACTTCTCCATGAATTTATACTCCCAGTCTAGCAGAATTTCAAGCTCATCATCACTTAGGCCTTCAAGGTTCCCATTAATCTCTCTAGGGTCAAATGACAGTTGAGCTAAGGCTCTGCTTGCATCCTTCCCAGTAAACATTGCATAAGGCCCACCAGGACCATAGAACATCCTAAACATTGAACCAAAGAAAACTTTAAGTTATTTTTAATTCAATGATGTAGTAGTTCGTCTCTTAGAAGATTAATCAACTGATCCTATCTATCAAACTAAGAATAAAACAAGAAACAGGACAAAAATCAACAATCACAGCAATATATTAAAATCAATCTAATTTTACTTGATTACATAGTATTGCCCTAATCTTTTTATAGGTTTGGCTTCTCCATTAATCTTTCTGCAGATATTATATTGTTCCTGAAGCTAGACAAATATTTGTTCCTGGATTTCCAATCTCTATCAAATGGAAAACAAGGGCTAAATTCCAGTATACAGATTTATCAATTCGATGAGTTTGGGGTATGAATAGCGAGCGAAAAGGGGGAGAATTATACCTGGAGCTAGAGACATCGTAGATTTGTCGTTTGATAGCCATGAGCAAGGGCTTTTTAGGATCGGAGCCATTGTAAGCTAAAAGCTCCTCTTCGGTCATATCGCCCATATGTAAGGGCTGCTGGCGGCTGGCGGCCTCCTCGGCCTTCTTCACATACATGTCGTCATCGTCGGCGCCGAACATCCCGCAAACCACCTTGTAAGTCACCACCATCATGGCCGCAATGGTAAAGAACGCCGTCGGCGACAGGCCAGTGTACTGGAAGATAGCTTCCGTGAGCTGCGTCCATAGATTCAGGGCCATTTTTCCCCTCAAGCTCAAGCTTGTTGGTGAGGAAGGAAGTTGTTGGATTGTTTTAAAGTGATAGGTGGCGTCTCAAGGCCGAATCCACCTACCGAGTTGGACCGATCCACCTACAACTCACCGGGTCACCACGCCGTCCACGCTGTAATATAAATTATAATAGTGATGCAATCAAATGAAAAATTAGGTACAATAAAATAAAAACACGACAATAAAGAAAGCCTGTTGAAAAAAAGTACAAACAATCTGTGTCCTTAGACAAACAAATACAGAGTAATATATGTGTGCGCGTGCGTGTTGCACTACTGAAGAATAAAAAGAAAATTGGTGAGATCAATTTTATAATAATTACAAATTTTTAAAATTTTAATAATTATGAAACTTTGAGCCATTTTCAAAAAAAAAAAATGAAACTTTGAGCCAATTTAAAGATTTGGAAATTATTTTTTGAAAAATATGTTTTATTTTTCAATATTTAGTTGAAAGTCAAAAAAATTTATTTTCTAAAGTATAACATAAAACTATTATTTATTTTTAATAAATATTAATGATTTTAGTGTTGATAATAATAATTATTTCTATTTTTAAAAAGTTATAAATTAAATTTTTTTAATAATTATAAAGATTAACAATAAATCTTGCATTCAAAAAAAAAAAAAAACAATAAATCTTAACTATAATATAGTTATATGGTTTGGTGAGCAATTATTGTAACAATAATTGCTCACCAAACCATATGATTATATTATAGTTAAGAAACCATATCTGCTATACTAATAAGAGCCCAAAAGAGTTAGGCCTATAATGGGTAGAAAAAATGGCGATCAAATTTTTTTAATCAAATGAATGGCTCAGATGGATCAGATTTTAATTTTCTCTTAAGATTTCCTAATTTATCCTTAATGAATATGACTTTCCGTTAACTTTTCCGTTAAATATTATTTTTTCCGTTAATTTTCTTAGTTCACCGTTAACTTATCCATTGATTTCAATAAAAAGGTTTTAGGTTTGAACCTCATCCCAATCAAAGTTGACATAATTAGTACTCTATTTTACTCTTATTAAATTAAATAATAATTTAATAGCTATAACATAAAATAATACATATGCATTCCTTTAATTTAAAATTATGTGTCTACAATGTCTTTATTCAAAAAAATTATTCATTATCAATAAATTAAATAAGAGAAATAATTTCATTAGTTATATTGTCTTTATTTTTCTCCAATATAAAAATTCTTTACATTCAAATTCATCAATTGATTATATTCATTACATTGTCCCTACAATGTATTTATTAAAAAAATTATTAATTATCAATAAATTAATTAAGATAAATAATTTCAATTAGTTATATTGTCTTTACATTTCTCCAATTTAAAAATTCTTTACATTCAAATTCATCAATTGATTATATTCACTACATTGTCTATTATCTTTTTTGTGTACTATTTTTTAATTAAATATTAAAGTTATAATACAAAATAATGCTATATATTTATTTACCAAGTATTTTTTTAATACCATAAATATATATATATATATATATATATATATATATATAATTAATTAATAAAGTCAATCATATTACCTCGCAATGTTCTTGTTCGATAATCAGCAGTTAGTGGCTAGCGTTAGCGGATTTGACCAGCGAATTATATCAACGGTTGGTAAAAAGATATTTCAAAAAATTAACTGATTAGATTAACATGTAAAATGACCTAAAGTACTTACCTTGATTTAGTTTAAAGTACTTATTTAAAATAAAAAAAAATAAAAAAAAATAAAAAAAAAACATTAGGCATTATCTCAATCGAGCAATGCGCGTAAAAAATTAGTGGTTATATAATAGTTAAAATTTATTTATTTACTTATTATATGGTGCATAAAAATTCAAATTAACCTTAATCCATTTTCATCTCTCTTGCCTCATCCAATCCATCCAAAAACTCACAAATAAACTTCAATTTGTTAAGTTTTGGCCTATTCACTCGTTAGTCCCCGCGTGATGCTTGCACAATTATACACCCAGAATTGCGTATATATATATATATATATATATATATATATATATATATATATATATATATATATATATATATATATATATATATATGTGTGTGTGTGTTTGTATATGTAAAGAGAAGAAAAAAGGAGGAGGAGAAGAACATCAAGTTATAGTATAACCATCATGTAAGTGTGTCCCTTTCATTCATCTTCACTCACTTTATATAGTGGTCATATACAACCTTTCAAGTACACAACATCAATACATGATTAAATGATAAGCAAATGAAAGGTCTAAATAGTTTAATGGCCATAAATATAAATATTTACAACACTCCCCATTGGCCATTAAATAATTATACTCATGCCTCGTTAAAAACCTCGCTAGAAAAACCCTGTGGAAAAAACCTAGTCGAGGAAAAGAGTACATGTAGTATCAATCATGTGTTGCATCGGTTGCCTCGTTAAAAACCTTAGCCTAAGAAAAACCCAGTGGGAAAAAAAACTTAGCTAAGGGAAAAAGAGTACAACCATAAGTCTTCTGGGCATCATCTTCAGGATTTAAAAGTCTCCTAGACCGAGTTTATCGCTCCCCCTGAAGACAACAGTCTTCCTAGACTCCGCATCCCAATTTTATAAACATACTTCTCAAAAGTGGATGTAGGCAGGGACTTAGTGAACAAATCTGCCAGATTTTCACTAGAGCGAACCTTTTCAATGAGTATTTCACCACTCTTCTGGAGTTCATGTGGGTAAAAGAACTTAGGAGCAATATGTTTAGTAAGACCTCCTTTAACGTACCCATTACTCATCTGTGCAACACATGCCGCATTGTCCTCATATAGGACAGTCGGGGAATCAACATTGCTCATTGTTCCGCATGAGCGATGAATATGCTGTATCAGTGATCTCAACCATACGCATTCGCGTGCGGTTTCATATAAAGCAATTATCTCCGAGTGATTAGATGAGGTAGTAACTAAGGTCTGTTTAATGGACCTCCAAGATATAGCTGTACCTCCACAAAGAAAAACATAACCAGTTTGCGATTTAGCAGTATGAGGGTCAGACATATAACCAGCGTCTGAATACCCTTTCAAAGTAATGTCCTGGTTGTTTTCAAAATAAAGACCAAGGTCTTTTGTCCCTTGGAGATATCTAAAGATATGCTTTATTCCACTCCAATGTCTTCTGGTCGGAGATGCACTAAATCTAGCAAGTAAATTCACTGAAAAGGCAATATCAGGCCTTGTGCAATTAGCCAGGTAAAGCAAGGCTCCAATAGCACTTAGGTAAGGAACTTCAGGTCCTAGAACCTCCTCATTATCCTCCTTAGGTCTAAATGGGTCCTTTTCCGCTTTAAGGGATCGGACCACCATTGGGGTGCTAAGGGGATGAGATTTATCCATATAGAATTTCTCCAATAATTTATTAGTGTAGTTGGCTTGGTGAATGAAAATTTCATTTGGAAGATGCTCGATCTGCAGGCCGAGGCAGAACTTGGTTTTTCCCAAGTCTTTCATTTCAAATTCTGCTTTTAAGCATGAACATGCTTCTATAAGGTCTTCCTTTGTTCCAATAATGTTCATGTCATCGACATAGACAGATATAATGCAGAAGCCATTATATGACTTCTTAATGAATATACAAGGGCAAATATCATTTTTAACATATCCCTTCTTCAGGAGGAATTCACTCAGATGGTTATACCACATTCTACCAGATTGCTTCAAGCCATATAATGACCTTTGAAGTTTGATGCTATACATGTTTCGATCTTTATCCCTCATATTGGAATTTTGAATACCCTCGGGTATTTTCATGTATATATCAGCATCTAGTGACCCATAAAGGTAAGTTGTCACTACATCCATCAACTGCATATCTAATTTCATACTTACTGCCAATGATATTAAATAGCGGAATGAGATGCCATCAATAACAGGAGAGTATGTTTGATCAAAATCAATTCCGGGTCTCTGCGTGAACCCCTGAGCTACCAATCTCGCTTTATATCTAACCACCTCATTGTTTTCATTCCTCTTCCGTACGAATACCCACCTGGATCCTACTGGGATCACATCTTTTGGGGTAAGTACGGTGGGACCAAAAACTTTTCTTTGATTAAGCGAGTTGAGCTATGCCTCAATTGCCTGTTTCCACTTCAACCAGTCAGAGCGCTTCCGGCACTCGGTTATTGACTTTGGTTCTGGATCCAGATTATTTTGTGGAATATTACAGGCAACTGCATAGGTAAAAGTGTCGTCGACAACTATTAAATCTCTGTTATATGTTTCTCCTGTATCAACAAAATTTATGGTCGTTTCTATATTGACATCAACCAGATCATCGTCATTTCCCAAAATATTTTGATCTGGATGTTCCGCCTTCCCAGTGTTCGTGTTATTTAAAGCACGTGCAGGTTCACTGGGTTCTCCGTCTTCGGGACGATCGTCTTCAGGACGGTTAACATTTTTCTGGAGTGACTGAGATATTTTACCAATTCTCGTCTTCCGTGGATTTAAATATTTTGCACCAAGTGGTCTCCCGCGCTTCTGGCGATGGGGAGTGTCAGTGTGCATACTTGGTCCCACGGGGACTTCAACTCTCGAAGGAGCATTCACAGCAGGGATATGGGACCTAGTCACTCCTCTGTTATCAGTAAAAGCATCTGGCAGGTTATTTGCTAAATTTTGCAAATTAATAATTTTCTGAACTTCTAGTTCAGTTTGACTAGTACGTGGGTCTAGATACTGAAGATCATTTTCATCCCATGAGATTTCTCGGCATTTCGTTAAATAAGGTCTTTTATCTCCCCCTAATGCCGGGAAATGATCTTCATCAAAAATGCAGTCAGCGTACCTCGCGGTAAACTGATCTCCTGTCATGGGCTCTAGGTATTTAATGATGGAAGGAGATTCATAACCAACATATATACCTAGTTTTCGTTGCGGGCCCATGGAGGTACGATTTGTAGGTGGTATGGGGGTATAAACTGCACACCCAAATACACGTAGATGGGAAATGTTAGGTTCTACGCCACGTAGTAGTTGCAAGGGGGAATAATCATGATATGCACTATGTCGGATTTGAATTAAAGCTGCAGCATGTAATACTGCGTGTCCCCAACATGAGACTGGTAAACCAGACTTCTGCAGTAATGGTCTAGCGATTAATTTAATACGCTTAATCAGAGACTCAGCCAAGCCATTCTGAGTATGGACATAAGGTACAGGATGCTTCACTTTGATGCCCAAGGCCATACAATAATCATTGAAAGCCGTTGATGTGAATTCTCCAGCATTATCCATTCTTATTGATTTAATGGGATAATCTGGGAATTGGGCATTCAACTCAATAATTTTCGCAACAAATTTAGCGAAAGCTTTGTTCCTCATGGACAGTAGACTAACATGAGTCCAACGAGTGGAAGCATCAATAAGGACCATAAAATATCTAAATGGTCCAGAAGGTGGACTAATAGGTCCACAAATGTCGCCCTGCAATCTCTGCAGAAATATAGGTGATTCATGTCCAACCTTAGTACGCGACGGGCGTACAATATATTTACCTTTCGCACAAGCCACACATGTAAACATATTTGGCGAAAGTACCTGAGATCTAGACAGGTTATGTCCAGCAGAATTAGATATGATCCGGCCCATCATATTCTGCCCAGGATGACCCAGACGGTCATGCCACATTTGAAAAGAATGTGGATTTTTTAGTTTCATGGTAAGTGCCACAAATGAATCATTGGGTTGTATATAGGTATAATATAACCCAGAGGATAAAGAGGCAAGTTCCTCAACCTCCCGCTTTTGACCAGTGATCAACTGAGTCGTGGTCAAGAACTCCTCTTTGTTCTTAGTCTTGGTTTCAATATGGAAACCATTTGAACGAATATCCTTGAAACTCAGCAAGGTTCGTTTAGATTGAGGGTACAACAAAGCATTTTCAATTAGTAACTTTGTACCCTTATGGAGGATGATGGATGCTCTTCCGGAGCCCACTATTTGTACCTGATCATTAGAAATGGTAGTAATATTACTACTTGATTTGTTTAAGGTACGAAAAAACCTCATATCCGTTAGGATAGTATGCGTGGTTGCACTATCCACCAAACACAATGTTGGTTCATGCTCCATTGTGCGAACAACAACTTTGTAATGTTGTAAGATCTTCGGGGTTACTTCTCGAACAGTGGTTGTTCGTTACTAATTAACCAATGCCGTTCACCGAAGAGCGTGCTTGATAACGTGTTAAGTTTTGGCCTATTCACTCGTTAGTCCCCGCATGATGCTTGCACAATTATACACCCGGAATTGCGTATATATATATATATATATATATATATATATATATATATATATATATATATATATATATATATATATATATATATATATATGTGTGTGTGTGTGTGTGTGTGTGTGTGTGTGTGTGTGTGTGTGTGTGTGTGTGTGTGTGTTTGTATATGTAAAGAGAAGAAAAAAGGAGGAGGAGAAGAACACCAAGTTATAGTATAACCATCATGTAAGTGTGTCCCTTTCATTCATCTTCACTCACTTTATATAGTGGTCATATACAACCTTTCAAGTACACAACATCAATACATGATTAAATGATAAGCAAATGAAAGGTCTAAATAGTTTAATGGCCATAAATATAAATATTTACAACACAATTAAGATTATTCTAATGAGGTCAATCTTATAAATTTAGTACATAGTATTTAATATTACAAAATTTTAAGAATTTAGTAAACTACAATAGTAACTGAATTACAATTTTCAGAGTCACCGCGGATCAAAAATTTTAGACCTTTGAGATTTCTAGAGTACTATTGTAGTTTACTAAGTCCTTAAAAATTTGTAATATTAAATACTATGTACTAAATTTTTAATATAGTTTAAGATTTGTAGTAATCACCCACCTTAAATATCAATTCTTATTTTAATTGTAAATATATTTATATATGTTCATAATTTTATCATAGCATTTCACACATAATTATTAAATAATAATTTTTTTTTATATATGAATAAACCTCATATAGGGTATATTTTTATAACATATTTATCGTGCATCGCACGGGACAAATACTAGTACAATAAAAAGATGTAAATAAATAATTTTAAATTGTAACTTATTATGATAAAAAATAAATACATAAAGTGATAGATATAATAACTTTAAACTAAACAAATTGAAGAAAAAAAATTTAGTATTTTTACAAAATTTTGGGAAGATTTTTATTATTTTGTCCTGCTTAGGGTAACCTATATTTAATTGGACATTGATAAATGTAATAACTCTTTTTAAAAACTTAATTAAAAAAAAATGGATTGTGGGCTAAGCAATTTTTTTTTTTATATATTGTTTAGTATGATCCAACTTGACTCCTATTGTTAGGGGTGTGCAATTTTTTAAATTTTGGTAAATTTTCGGTTAATCGACCGAACCAACAAAGTTTGGTTAAATGTTTTTTAATCGAACTTTTTCAGTTAACGGTTAATTCGGATCGAAACTTCGGTTAATCGAAATTATATATATATATATATATATATATATATATATATATATATATATATAATCTAATATGTAAAATCCCTATAAATTTTTAATGTTGTTATGATATTATTTTTGTATTTTTTTATGGATTTATTATTATATGTATTATTTTTAGGATTTAAAAAATTCCGTTAATCGGTTAACCGAAAAAAATTTCGGTTCGGTTAATTCGGTAATATAAAGTTCAGTTCGATTAACGGTTAAAATTTTAAAAATTTCGATTTGAACGGTTTGGTTAACTGAACGGTTAATCAATTGAACACCCTTGCATATCGTAATCATACATTGATAAATGTAATAACTTTGAACTAAAGAAATTGAAGAAAAAAATTAAAACTTTTGGGGTTGTGGGTTAGAATGAGTTTTTTTTTTTTTTTTCATATGTTAATTAAGCTTTCCTAGTTCAATTCTAAATAATAACCAGAGACAAATGATAAGCCAACTCACACATTTAACACCACTCAGATAGATAGAAAGAACTAAGTGTAAGACAATAATAATCGATAATTTGGCCTAGTGGTGCACTTCATTTAATTGCATTTGGCGTGTATCTGATCTTAAAATGTATTTGAGTTGAAAATCACTTTGACTTGCATTGTTTTAATTGTAGGTAAGGAAGAGTGGTCAAGCATGAGAAAAGGCAAGCTTAGGAAGCACAAGACAAAGGCATAAAGGCGCAACACGAGACAATGGGCCAAGTTGGAGAGCAAATTAAAAGAGGAAGTTGTAAGCACTCACGATGGCTGTTGATAACGCTATCACTCCCATCATGGTGTGATCGCAACCGTGACCATGCGTTTAGAATGTCTTTTAAGTTGTTATTTATGGTGCGGTTTGAAAAGTATAAATAAGGATAGACAGTTATTTGTAGAGAATTTTTTATTTTTTCACTCTTAACTCTTTCTAAGATTTTCTTAGGACCTCTCCAAACATTTCTCTTTTACAATCAATCCAACTTTGACGAAGAATAGAAAAACATTTTCAACTTTAGATTGCAATTTCCAAATTTCATCTTTCCTAGTTCTTAACCAACTTTATGTCTTTTTTGTTACTTTCCTTTCATCTCATTACTTTCAATTGTTTTTACAAATGTCTTTAATTTCAATTCATTGTTTATTTATATTCCGGGTGAGCTAATTACCACGTGTGTAATGCTATTACAATAGTAGATTAAAACAAGATAGAACATGATGTCCTAAAGGGACAAAATAAATACTTTTATACTCAAAGGAGACCCGGCCATAACAACCCCTAAAGAGGGGGGATGGTTACAATACCGCGCCCGGTCTCACGATTGGACACCCAGGTAGGTCGGCCGAGGCCTTGCCTAGACGACTTGGGTCAAGCGCAGTGCTTGATCCTAGGGCGCTGGGTCTTCAATAATGCTCCATCTCTCCGAGTCGATTTGCTCCATTTTCAATGTGTTCATCAACTCCCAAGGCGTGAATTGAAGAATCACATACATGTAAGTATTTTCCCTAATTATAATATATTGTATTATTGGGTGGCTGTGGTCCAAGTAGGAGATTGAGTCAATTAGTGACTTAATCTGTTAGGCAACTCAAGATATTGAGTGAATATCTGCCTACGTTGATGGTATGTAGGCTTCTAATCAAAACAGTCCTCTCACAACTCCCGTGTTCAGAATTCACGCACCATCAGGTATTCGAGAGAAAAGTGGTAGACAAAACACTAACTTTTATTCTGCAGGTTTACCTTCCCGTGACAACACCAACAACTATGGCTAGAGACATTAAGAATCCTAAAGCTTCCGCTATTACGAGTCACGTTACTCGTTTATGTTACTCAATTTATTATCTAACAATACAATCCTAAAGTTGGATATATTGCTCCTGCTAGCCAATGCCCATTAGATTTGACCCATTGAGTCGGAACTACCATATCCTCAATTGTCTTTAATACATGCATGGAAATTAAAGGTCTGTATACAACATTTTTGACACAAAAAACTTCATTCTTAATGTATCTAAATATTAAATAAGGCTCAAATTTTTGATAGTGTATGATTGATAAAACCATTCCTTGTTAAGAGAAAGAGAGAAGTTGGTGAAACGGCAATGGAGACCCAACAACCATCCCCAATTTTATTTCGCAACAAAGATTAAAAATAAAAAATAATAAAAAAAGACAATTTTCAAAAGAAATAAAATAAAAAGGACAAACTTGTCTCCTTATAATAATAATATTTGTATCGTAATTACGACAACTTGGAGGGAGGGATTGCGTGCGTAGTTCCTTCAATTGGAAGTTGATTGGTGAATGATATCAACGGTCTGTGAGTTTACCGTAGGTTAAGCGACAGTGTCGGAAAGCCAATTCTGTGGCGCCGTCTTTTGCTCACATCTCCGGTTCAACGTCTCTCTAGCGCTCTCTTCGCTTTTTCTTCTCTAACCCTGTCGTTATTATCTCCTTCTCTGCATCATATCTGTGTCGTCTCAATTGGAATAATCTTCCTTCAAATATAATTTCTTTTCGTCTTTCATCTTTCCTTAATAATTAGCTTCACCCAAGTAAAGTAAGCTGTGTCGTGTCGAGTCGTCTACCATGGCCTCCTTGAAACTGCGAGCTCCTGCGCCCTGTCTCACTCAAGCAGATCTGCAAGCAAAAGTACGTTCCTTCTAATAACTTCAATTCCTTCTAATAATATTATAATTAAGCAACTCCATTCATGTGATGCATGCATATATGCAATTTATATAGATAAGTGAGGTCAGGGGGTTGATCGGTCCTGCCTTGACTAAGTTCCCGACAATGTCATCGGACGCGTCGATATTAAGGTTTCTGAGAGCTAGGAACTGGAACTCAAAAAAGGCTGCCAAGATGCTCAAAGAAACCTTGAAATGGCGGATGGACTACAAGCCCGAGATGATTCGATGGGTATATAATATATATCACTCCTTAAATTAATTACCTTCGTCCCTATACATACTAATCATATATAGACTTCACATTTAATTTCATTTCTTGATTTGATGATTAAGGAACACATTGCCCGTGAAGGAGAGACTGGAAAAGTTTACAAAGCCCACTACACTGACAAGATCGGCCGCACCGTTCTTGTCATGAGGCCAGGCTTCCAGGTTAATTATACTAATATGAATTCAATTTTATTTTTGTCCACGTATAATTTTATTTTTTATTGGTTTTGGGTGTGCAGAATACAAGCAAGACCGATGGGCAAATCAGGTACTTGGTGTACTGCATGGAGAATGCAGTACTGGATCTGAAACCGGGGCAGCAGCAAATGGTGTGGCTAATTGATTTTTGTGGATGGAACATGTCCAGCATTTCAGTTAAGACAACCCAGGAAACAGCCCGTGTCTTACAAAACCGTTACCCTGAGCGCTTGGCCCTTGCTATTCTTTACAACCCACCAAAGCTCTTCGAGTCCTTCTGGACAGTACGTGCCATACATATTATGTGTCTGCAATTAACATATTATATACATTCAGTTAATTATTGCATCTAATGGGTGCAGATGGTGAAGCATTTCTTGACAGTATATGCTATACATATTATGTGTCTGCAATTAACATATTATATACATTCAGTTAATTATTGCATCTAATGGGTGCAGATGGTGAAGCCATTTCTTGAGCGGAAGACGCACAAGAAAGTGAGATTCGTGTACGCTGAGAACCCAGAGAGCAGGAAGATAATGGAGGAACTGTTCGAGAAAGACAAGTTGGAGGCGGCGTTTGGAGGGAGTTGCGGCACTCAGGGCTTTGACTACAAAACCCACTCCCAGCGCATGAAAGAGGACGACAAGAAGATGATGGACTTCATCAAATCCGGCGCCCCTTTGCCGTCCGACCAAAACGTCCAGAACCAGTCGGAACCGCTCAGCCCGGAGTCCCCTTCCGCCGGCTTATACGAAGACGATGACGATGACGACGACTCTTCCGATGACGACAATTCCCCCAGCAGCGTCCAGCATATACGGTTTTAGAAATTAGAAAACACATACAGGATGAAAATTCAATTTTATATGATTCATCTCACACGTACGTTAACATAAAAGTAGAAATTAAATATAATGCACCGCAATAAAGAGCATGCATGAATGCATGCATGCGCCAACTCCATTTTTGAGGATTGAAATCAAATTTTGTTTTTATTTATTTATTTACTTTTTTCAACTGTATAATTAATTAAGTGATTAAAAATATAGGTAGTAGGAGTAGGTGTGTTAATTTTTGAAAAACTCCAACGAGGCAAGGTTATGTTTTGTCGGATCGAGGAACGAGAAATAATCTGGGTCCGATAAATTGAAAACCTTGGTTGTCGGTCTTCAACAAAAGCCGAGGAACGGTTTCCCAAAGTGGGATTGTCAGAAACAAAAGCCACACGTACAGCTGGAGACACCATTCATAACTGCCAACGTGGAGTGGGGTGGAAGTGGAGCCCTCACCCCGCCCTGCCTGCCTCTCATCAACGGAATATCACATGCATTTCATATCTTTTTCCAAAAAACAATTCTAATCTTCCCAATAATTTTTTTTTTTTCTATCAATCAAACAATAAAATTCATCTCTCTAATAAGTATTTTTCCATAAAATTTCAATTCAATTCCTCCTAAAATATTTTCAGCAAACCATCCTTAATGATAAAAATCACAAGTGCATTCTTCTAGGACTTGGTAATTGCGTGAACACCCTTCTACTTTCATAATTAAACTTTTTTTAAAAAAAAAAAATCCTATAATGTTAATCCTTTAGTAAACAATATTATTTTATATGAACGTTATCTCTAACAACAAGCTTGAACCCATCTTCTTCAACCTTTACATGTAAACTTATTATATATATATCACAAGGACACTCTGGTAGGACTTGGTAATTGTATGAACAACCATTGAGTTTCACAATTAGAGTTTCTATAATATTAATCTTTTATAGTAAAAAAAGATTATTCTTTTTTAAATGTAATAAATGAACAAGCTTATCAAAAATTGAGAGTCAAAATATAGCAGCACGTTAAGGTTTACTTGATTAAAAAATTTAAAAAATAATTCCATAGTCATTAAATTGTACTTAAGAATTTAGGAGGTAGGACAAGCCAATGACCTGGTAGTCTAGTAGTACAAAATAAATTACAATAAAGATGATATTGATAAAAATAGTTATGAACATATACTAAATAATAACAGAGTCAATAGTACTAAAGAAAATGACAATTTGGATAAATTTTATTTGTAATGTAACACTTTTGTTTGTGGGCCTCAGGGGCTGGCAAGAGAAGAAATGCAAAACGTGTGGGTGCGAGAGAAATGTGAGGGATAAAGGTGGTGCAGTGCCCTCACGTGCGCATCAGTCAAACAAAACCCACTGTTTCCGTTGAATACCTTTACCTTAGCTTAGGTTTGTGTTGGCAAAAAAACAAGAAAAGGTTGTTGTTATGTACGTGTGCCACCTCAGTGTTTCAGTATAATGTATTTCGCGTGACCCCTCCCCCTCTCATAACGGTTACGGACCTACCGCTATATCTTTTCAATACTGCTCAACCAATTGCCTTTAAAAAAAAATCATTTTTTCTTTTTGTTTCTTATAATACATTTTACAGAAATGTTAAAAATATATAAAAAGCATATAATAATGTTGGTATAATTTGACAGGAAAATACTACTTATACTCCAAACTTTGATTGACTTACTTAAAATTTTAAGGTAGACATTTTCTTGAGATCCACAAGATAAAAATAACATATCAATGTTAACCACATCATAGAGTAAATGTGAGGAAGTCCATATAGTATAACTCAATTTGGCATGCAATAACCATAATATATATATCAAATATAGATTGCACATAGAGCTTAGTAACTATAAGGTTCATGTGAGAGTTGTTTATTGGTTTTTTTTTTTTTGACGTGTCAGCTACGAGGAATCTAGATTGGTTGACGTCCTTATGATTTTTTTCAACTATGATTACAAGTCGCATTCACCCATAATCAACATTTAGATACGAATTGAAATTTTCTCGTAATTATATTGAAGTATAAGTTGTAGATTATATGTGAAAAGTAGAATATATTGCACAAAATAATGAAATAGGAAAAGTTCTTAGTAGTTCAGGGTTACAATAACATAATGTATTAAATTAGAAAACTTTAAACTCGTTTGCAAATTATTTCTAATTTTACTATATTTTTTCCCTCCACGTTGTTAATATAATTACATATATTAAATAATTTGTACATTATGAAAAGTAGAATATATTACACAAAATAATGGAATAAGCAAAGTTGTTAGTAGTTCAAGATTACAATAACAATATTGTATTAAATAATAAAAGTTTGAACTCTCTTAGGCTAGTCGCCATTGATTATTATTGAAAAGTATAAGAACGATCGTCGGAACCCTAGGTAACCTGTAAGTATAAGTTATTAATCAATTCATAGACTTAAATGTTTTAAAATAATATATTTTTAATTTTAATTGTAACTTTTAAAATTTTAAAAATTTAATTAACTTTTTGAATAAAGTTCATAGCCTATTTAAACTTTTTTTCCTTTATTTTATATATCCATAAACATAATTTTATTCTTTAAAAACATACTTTATCACATTAAAAAAAAAAAAAAATAGGGAGAGAAAAGTGGTTTGTGAGAGGAGAATCTGTATTGACGTTGGAAGTGACGCCGGGTGAGTTACAAGAGTTCCAAAGTCCAACAGCGTGTAGTGGTGAGACTTGGGAGTCCCACCATCCACACGAGCGGTTCTCGGTTCCTACGCTTACACTTACTTCCACATTTACTACGGACTATTTTTTTTTCTTTTCCTTTAATTACCACCATTTCATTTTTTTTTATCTTTTCTATGCTAACGGAGTTGGTGAATACAGAATACTCAATCTGTGGGTGACTCCCAATTTAAACTTCACAAATTCCGTCACCCTCTACGAAAATACAACCCAAATTCCGACAAAACACTCGTGTAATACTATCTAGTTTAATTTTTTTAATGAAAATATAAAAAATATTACATATTTCACGTAAAATAATCTTACACAATGAGCGTATTTGGTAAATAGTTGGTAGCTGATTGGATTAGAGAGTTTGATTAGTTGATAGCACTAGCTGATTGTAGATAGATGTTTGGTAAATTAACTATTAACTATTAACTATAGTTGGTTACATGTAAAATGACTTTCTCAACAAGCTGCTTTCAATAACTTTTTGAATTTTATTATTTTGGAGCAATAAACTATTATAAAAAAGTTAATTAATCAAACACTTATATTTGTTGTTTAATCAAATCAAACAGCTAATAGTGATTAAATAAGTTAAAATTAACTGATAAGTTAACTATGTTACCAAATTGAGCTCATATTTACTCTTTTATTTTTCACAAGATTTACACTTTTTTTTTTAATGTAGGGAATCATTTAATTTAAAATTTAACATGTAAGAATAATATAGCCATTTATTTATTTATTTATTTATTAAGAAATTATTTTCTGAATTAAAAAATCACATTATATTCGTGTGTATTTTATATTGAGTGGATTTTTTAAAAATTTTTGTTTTATACTAATAATTTTATACTTTTTTCTCTCTCGTACGTTGCTCGTCGTCTTTCGTTTGCCTTGAACGTTACAATTGTTTCCTCTTTCTTCATTCCTTTTTTAGCATCACCCTCAGATTGGACGTTCATACCCGAGACCTGTTTTCCCTCTCCTCTCTCTCTCTCTCTTTCTCTCTGAAAAACCATTAAAGAACTGGAGCAGAAGGTTCTTGAACATCAGATACCACATGTCACTGCTGGCTTGAATAACCGAGTTTATTTCTGATCGATTTCCTGCTGTTGAGTTTGCCGGAGAAATGAGTTTCAAAGCATTTGAGAGTAGTAGTTCCGGTGCTTTCCGGTTTCCCCCGCCGCCGGACCTCCGGTTTCCTCCTCTCGGAGCGGCGTTGGGTTTAGAAGAACCGGAGAAGAGAAGCGCCGACCAAACGCACAGGCTTTGCGCCAGGGGGCATTGGAGACCTCACGAAGATGGCAGGCTGCGAGAGCTCGTTGCTAAGCACGGCCCGCAGAACTGGAACCTGATTGCTGAAAAGATTCCTGGGAGATCAGGTACGTAAATACGGTGATTAATTAAGGAATCATATATAATTAGTTGGTTAAGTTAAGATTGGAAATGAAATGGAACAGGGAAGAGCTGCAGATTGAGGTGGTTCAACCAGCTGGACCCGAGGATAAACACGAAACCGTTCACGGAGGAGGAAGAGGAGAGGCTACGGGCGGCGCACCGCATGTACGGCAACAAATGGGCTATCATCGCCCGCCTCTTCCCTGGCCGGACGGATAACGCCGTCAAGAACCACTGGCATGTCATCATGGCCCGCCTCCACAGACACCAAACCACTGGCGGCGCCAGGCGGAGACAGCCCAGAAACCACAACAACAATAATACCATGGATTCTAACAACCTTAACGATGAATCCGCCGCCTCTACTTGCACAGATCTTTCCCTCTCTACTTCATCTTCTTCGGCGTTATATATGGCAGGTTCATCCTTGAAGGGCGTGAAAGCAGCAGAGGCAAGTGGCCGGCGGCCTGAGTCCTCGCCTGACTCAGTAGCGAACAACAACACCACTGGCAGTGAAGCAGAGATGTGTGGACAAAACCAGACTGCAATTTATGACAACAACAAAATGCTCTTCTTCGATTTCCTAGGAGTCGGAGCCAACTGAGAAAACCAAAACCCAGGGAAAAACGAAACCTGGACTGGGGTTTGGTTAATTGGTTGGAAGAAGAAGATGACTATGATGATGATGATAGTTAAGGTAAAAATGGGTTGGATGCTCTGAATCTATCTATCTTAGTTGTTCAATCCGAATAACATTTGTATATGTCACTATAGAGATGAAAAATGAGGCATCAACAACCCAATCCAACCCCCCATTCATTTCAACGTTTAACTCCCCTAAAATTAGTGATGTAATTGACTCCATCTTTCCCATTTTCATGCTAAAGGACACAGCCCAAGCAGTCTTTGTTGAAAACACACAACAAAAGCGCATCAAAAGCCTTAATCTATGCGACTTTGCACTGCTACTATTTGGACTCCATTTTCTCTAATGCGTCAATTAATCATTATTTTATAAAAACGTCGTTTTCAACATAATCAATACAGATCACGTGAACTATACAGCATACGCTTCCGTCACATTTTTAACCCTCGAGTGGTGAAAAATGTGAAATTTTGCAATATGGTTTGAATATTAGCCCATGAGGCTACCGACAGCCTGCGAGAAGGGTACCCAGAAAAAACAAGAATTAGGTACAGAATCGAAGTATTGTTTATATTACTAAACAGCACATTTTTATATTGTCACAAAACTGAACAAGTGTTTCCACTACCTACATATTTTTCGCCGACAATAATATTCTATATCCTATAATTAATTAATCAATTAATAATTAATATATGGCATGAACTTATATGCGGAGAGTCCCTCTCAAGTAGTCTAATCTTAAACCAAACTGGCATTACTACGATCTCATCTGTATTATTATAACGACAACACAGTGACACATTAACTATTAAAAAAAAGAAGAAAAGAATTTGGTTATTATATTCCACGTCGTATAGGGAGTAGAATCCAAACTATGATCCAGACTTCAACAACTGACATGATGGCGACAAGAGTTTAATTAATATTAACCTCGTTAGTATCATACTTATATATTAATCTAATATATAATCTAATGCTCTCCGAATAATAATGGAATATTATATTTATTGTGGCATATTATTTCCATGGAATAATTAGCCAACCCTTTTTGAAGTTAAAATTTATAATACTTTTCCTAAATGCAAGTGATGAGTGCTGATGATGTCTGGGTCATATATTATAGGTATAAATTAACTTAAATTTAGAGTCTTTTTTATTTTATTTATGAAAATTTTGAGTTATAGGTAATAATGCGTAAATGCGCTCACTTTCTAAGTTCATCACTTTTAGATTTGAAATGACATTGAAGTTATATTTTTCATCCATCATTTAACAAATTTGTTAAAATTTATTGTTAATCTGCGAGATATTTCTTGTGTATATAAGCCTTAAAAATGACACGTAAAAGATTCACAATTTTTATCACTTTCAAGTAATACACTAATTTTACCGTTCTTAGTAATTAATTTTATTGATTTGTGAAATATTATATTGACAAACCATTAACTGTTACAACCATAAAGGTTCATTCGCTAATGTTTATAGACTATAAATGATGGTGTCTATAACATAATCACTATTGTCTTATAATTTAACGATTAAAAGTGTGATTTTTTTTTTTTTGGATAAATTACACTTTTGAAAAATGCAAATAAATAAATAAAAGCACAAATTCGTGAGCCTAACAACGAAGATATTAGTTAAACATAATGGAAGTCTAAGTTCCTGCTTTTGTCTTTACTATTCCGTTTGCTGTCGTAACGGTAAAACCAAATTATTAGATAACAAAAAAAAACGAAAAAGAGACGACAAGACCACATTGTCGTCAACACGTTGAATGAAACCTAATTTCGGACGTGTCGCGATTCGCCGAAAACAGAAAACAAAGAGATTCTTTGCCATATTATTTTAATGGTCGATACATCTCAGGTTCTTTGGAATTACAACTGGAGATCTAATCACAACAACACCAATCCAACTTATACTTCATGGCCCGATTCTTATAACAATATTCCAACTTCAACCTTATGGGTTTAGCTCAATGATTCAGTATGCAGTATTTGAATGAAAAGATTAATGTTCAAACTTCGATAATAACAGTGTAGGAATTATGTTTAAAGTGCAATGTCGCACGGGTAACTACTCTTTTAATTAGTTTCTTAATTGTGGGTATGTACATTTAGTTTTTTTAATGGTTCACATGTTAGATTTAATTTCTAAGTTTTAATAAAATGTAATATTTGACATTAAAAATCTAAATGATTAAATCCGTCACTTTGTTAAAAATTTAAGAACTACAAAAATTGAGACACTAAATCGTTAGGTTTTGGACGTGAGATACATTAGTTAAGCACACACTAAGAAAAAAAGATTAAGAGTATATGAGGTTATGAAGGTAAGAAAGTGAATTCTTCACTATTAAGAAACAAGCTCCTCAAATGCCACAAGTGTTTGCAGTACAACTTTACCATTTAAGTATAATTTCTAGAATGGTGGATCTTCTTCACGAGCTTTTTAGAGCAACCTCAATAGGAGTTTTTTTTTTTTTTTTTTTTTTTTTTTTTTTTTTTTTTTTTAGGTGTCAATTAGGAGGGGGAAGAAGGAGAAAACGGGGGAAAATTAGACCCAAAAAAAAAAACAATTAACGCGTCAGCCAGCGTGTGCATTGCATGCGCCCCGCTTAGTGCTGTATGTGCGCGAAACGCGCTAGGCTGCGCCTCTCTTCTCCACTTTTTCTCTCCTGCGAGACCCACAAAAAAAAGAATCTCTTACATGCCCCCAAATCTTCTTTCTCTTCCCTCTCTTTCCTCCACATAAGCTATGTTCTCCTAAAAAAGGTGAGCACAACCCACTATTGTGGGTGATCTTAGAGACCTAAGTGCAATTGTGCTCTTAGAGACCTCGAGGGTATTTTACAAGATGAACCCTAATATAAATTTTTTAAAAATAATACAAATTCGTTTTTAATCATGATCCATCTTGCAAAATTGGTCTAGGGTCCACGATATAATTTCCCTCCATGAGGTGTCTTGTTAGTCCAACAAAGGTAATAAATAAACAATTGTTATGCCATGGACCTGGCCAAAACGACGCCGTTTGATTTTTTTTAAAAAAAAATTGTTCTTTCCTTGTTGTTAGTCTTCTGAATTCATTCCTCTGTATTCATAATTTTAAACTTTATATTCACAATTTTAAAACTCTATATTCACAATATATATATATATATATATATATATATATATATATATCATTGGCTGAGAAAACAGTGCCACTAACGACACTGTTATTCCAGATGCGCGTTTTGGACTTGGGTCCATAATTTGCCGTAAATAAAGGAGCCTACTAGATTATTGGGCTTTTCCGGTTTATTCTAAGCCCACTACAAATCATGGCCTATAGTTGGTCCAATGGCAAATTATATTATGCACCGCGGTGCATAATCGATTATGCACCGCGCGTCTTTTTTTTAAATGAAAATTAACAGTGTTTATTTCCGCCGTTTCACACCCTTTTACAAAAAGTAACTCTGTTATTCAGTGTCATTTTGTATACACTGCAGTTTCAGTTGAACACAACTACAGTTTCATTTCGATATAACTATAGTTTCATTCGATATTTTATAGACTCAAATATGTGAACATGTTATTTAATTTTATTTTATATACATTATAGTTTTATTAAAACACAACTACATGATCATTTTGATATAATTACAGCTTCATTGTACAATATACACTCAAATATGTGAAATGTTATTCAGTTTCAGTTTATATACACTGCAGTTTCATTTTACTATAACTATAGTATCATTTTGATATAACTGCAGTGTCGGTTTGGATATACTGTAGTGTCAGTTGGTGTTTAATACACCAAACAAACGGACTCCGTTAACTCTAACGGCGAGCCGTTTCTTTAAGTAAAGAAACGGCGCCGTATATGGGCCTCGGTGCATAATCGATTATGCACCGCGGTCTATAATATAACAACTGAGGTCCAATCTCAAATCATAACAAAAGCAAGAGATGGGAATAACCTCGGAATTTATATATGCTAAAGAAGAAGAAGAAAAAAAAAAACTATGACTCCCTTATTTTATGTGTGAATCAACGCACACATCAACAATGTGTAAAAATAAAATAAAAAAAAAAACAAAATAAAAATTTAAAATTAAGGGTAATATTATTCAAAACCAAATGGTCATATACAGATATACTACATAACTTACATACTAAGCAAGCTTATTTGACAATAAAGTATGTCTTTTTCCTTTTAATTTTTAGTTTTTAATTTTTTAAATCTAGTTAGCCGGCTGACAGCATCAGCCATCAGGGTTGTATAATATTTCTTATAATATTCAAAGAAATTTATACAATGTCTTATATTTAGTACTTTAGCAGTATGAATATTAGTATACTATATAATATTAGAAAGTGAAGCTTGCTTATATTTATCGTGAGCAAAATAAAATAACTGATTTTATGGCTATGTTGGCCTATAAGAGTGAAAGGGGTACAATTTACAAGTTTTTGATAGAACTCATAGGGACATTTTCAAAATTTTGACCGAGTACAAACATGGTGTTCTAAGTTTGAGGCATGTGGCTATTGAGTAGTTTTATAAGGTGATCTTTTCCCTATTCTCAAAAAAAAAAAAAAAAAAAAATTTATAACATTATAGATTCTATTGTTGTGTTAATAATAACTGACGTAATAATGTAAGGAATGATTAATTGTATGTAATACTATCAATTACAGTGTTATCGAGTCAGAATCTCGGTTAACATACCCCATACTCAATACAATCATGCATATATTTACTACCAAATATTGATATAAATTTCCTAAAATTATATGATTAAGCGAAATTGCTAAAAATGGAGTCCCTGGGGGCAAAATTGCAAAAGTATAACTATTCTAATGATATATTGATACATCCCACTCCCCCAACAGAAATGTGGACTTGATCAAAGTAATATCTAGTGCTGAAATGTACAGAATTGGAAAGAAGAAGAAGACAGAAAAGTGGCCGCCTTTGCCGTCACTTACCTAAATTCCTTCTTAGCGCTCTTTGTAAGTAATTCCCTCTTTTCATTGTCCAAAACCAACAACAAAAGGGTCAAAAAAGAAAACCACAATTTAACTTTGCTGAGCTGAAGTGAAGAATTGATCTTGCTTTTGAGCTGGTATTTTCCTTGTTTGATCGCCCAGAGCTTTCGATTGATCTTTTAAGCTAAACTTTTCTTGTTTCACTTGATCTAAATTCTTGACTTGATGCAGGTCTTCTGAAGATATTGTTGATAGAGGCGAGGAAGAAATGGGCGTCGGATTGCTGGAGATTGGGGTTCAAATGAGGAAAGTTGTGATCTTTTCGATTAGATTATGTTATAGAACTGTTAGAAATCATCCATTCCTGGTGGGTATGTTGTGTTTCTTGGCATTATTGTACAGATCATTTCCTTTTCTGTTTTCTGTATTGGTGTCTGTGTCTCCTGTTATTGTTTGCACTGCAATTCTGCTTGGTACTTTGTTAAGTTTTGGCCATCAAAATGCGCCCGAGATAGAAAGGGAAGAGAAAACAGTTCATGACATCTTAGTACCTCTGAAATCTGGAGTTTCCTGTGATGATGCTAGTGTTGTTGAGAAAGATGAGAGCTATTCTGTGGAAAGATACATTGATAAACGATGGGATGCTGCAGAGCAGCCATTTTATGAGGTTGAGAGGGATAATAGGTTTGGTGATGGCACTCCTCTCATTGAGAAAGAATCTCAGGAAATTCAACCGGTGAATAGCGTGTTTGATGAAGCAGCAAGGTTTTGTTATGATTCGGGATCTGAGCAGAAGAATGAAAATGTGGATGTTTTAGAGTACCAGTATTCTCCAATTCCGAATACAGATGACAATAATCTTGAATTTGATGTTGATAATGATAAATCTGTGGATTCCTATGACTCTAAAATGGTAAACATTGGTTCTCATCCTGGCTCACCAGGAGAGGAGGAGGAAGAAGACAGAGAAGAGGATGAGAGTATAGATTCGGGGTCAGATCGAGCAGAAAGTTCACCCGATGCTTCAATGGCCAATATCATCCCAATGCTAGATGAGTTTCACCCTCTTTTGGATGAAGGCAATCCTCAACGTGTTAATTTATCAGATGCCGATTTTGATGCAGAGTTTAAACACTCGAAGCTAAGTGACAGTGAGGATGAATTTACCGATGGCATTTCAAACCAAGGAGAGTTAGAAACTGCAGATGATGAGAATGAAGATGATGAAGATGAAGAGGACATACAAGGAGATAAAGAAGAAGGTGATAGATTTGGAATTGCATGGACCGAGGATGACCAGAAGATTATCATGGACTTGGGAAGCTCTGAGCTCGAAAGGAATCAACGGTTGGAGAGCCTTATTGCTAAAAGAAAAGCGCAGAAGGCACTGGCTGAAAGGGGTGAAGAGTTAGAAACTACAGATGATGAGAATGAAGATGAAGAAGACATACAAGGAGATAAAGAAGAAGGTGATAGATTTGGAATTGCATGGACCGAGGATGACCAGAAGATTATCATGGATTTGGGAAGCTCTGAGCTCGAAAGGAATCAACGGTTGGAGAGCCTTATTGCTAAAAGAAAAGCGCAGAAGAATATGAAGGCACTGGCTGAAAGGAGTGGAGAGTTAGAAACTGCAGATGATGAGAATGAAGATGATGAAGATGAAGATGAAGAAGACATACACGGAGATAAAGAAGAAGGTGATAGATTTGGAATTACATGGACCGAGGATGACCAGAAGAGTATCATGGACTTGGGAAGCTCTGAGCTCGAAAGGAATCAACGGTTGGAGAGCCTTATTGCTAAAAGAAAAGCGCAGAAGAATATGAAGGCACTGGCTGAAAGGAATTTGATAGACTTAGGAAGCGTTGATCTACCGTTCAATGTTGCTCCCATTTCAACTGCAAGAAAAAATCCTTTTGATATTCCCGATGATCAAAATGACCTTAGATTACCACCAATTCCTGGGTCTGCTCCATCTATTTTACTTCCTAGGAGAAATCCATTTGATCTTCCTTATGACGTAGGTGAAGAGAAACCTGATTCTGTGGAAGATAGTTTCCAAAAAGAGTTCATGACATTACAACCAAAAGAACCGTTCTTCAGGAGGCATGAAAGTTTCAATGTACAACCATCATTATTTGGCCCAAACAAGCAAGTACAAGATGATATCAGGTTGAGACCTTACTTCGTTCCAGAAAGGATGGAGATTGATGGACCAAGCTACACGCCATTTGAAAGACAGTTGAGTGATCTTAGTGACTCCAAAGTAAGCTCTATTCCTGAAACTGAATCATCAGGTTCAGTTAGTGATCTGGAAGAGAATGACCTTACTGAGGAAAATATCGTAGGCAAGAACCTTAATGACAAAGATCTGGTGGATGAGAACATAATTGATCAACATATCTCTCAGGAGCTAGATGTGATGTCTAGTATAGAGCCTGTTGGACATGTAAGCAGCTTTTCTGAAGAGGAGTTGTTGGAGTTGGGCAGAAATGGTAAAAAAGACTTATTTGGTGTCAAGATTGAATTTAAACAGAATCATGAAGAAATTCACCATGATGAGAACCCAAGTTTGATCCAGGAAGGAAATGTTGCCAACATGTTGGACTTCAGCTCGATAGAAACTAATTCAAGGTCGCCATCTTTTAAACAGAAAAGTAATTGGCATTCAAGCTCCTCATCACCCTCTGAAGCAAGTGAAAAGATCCTTGATGAGAGAGGAGCACAATGGCTGTCAGGTTTGGAAGAAAGAAGTGGTCATGCTGAAGAAAAAGTGATTTCTAGAGAGCCTTCATCAGAAAAGTCGGATGTCAATATCACAACCATAACGACTGATGAAAATCCACATAGGGAGCCTATTTACGACTCAAGCCCCGCTCCACTTCAGAAGCACATTTCTTTATCCTCCATTTCTTCAGATGTGAGAACGGATTCTTTATCCTCCATTTCTTCAGATGTGAGAGCAGATTCTGAAATGGGCTTCTCGCCTCCATCAGTCAGGGCAGCTCTTGCTTTTGCAGATAGGGAATCCATGCAAAGTGGTCTCAAAATCAATAAATATACCCCGATTAATGAAGAGATTCTAGCGACCTCAACCACCTCAGTAGCAGTACATAAAGTAGAATCTTTGTCAGCAGACCCTATGGATATAAATATGCAGGAAGTCTTGAAATTGAACTCCTCAGAAATTAATGAAGCCTATTTTGATGCATTTACTCCAGCAGTTGCTGAAAGTGTAGTCAGTAAGGTTTTTCTGGACTCAAAAGCGTCTTTGGGGACTTCTGAAGATGATAAAATTATTGAGCTTCTACAGGATGAAAGTTTATTTTCTGTGTTCAACCCAAATGTCAAGGCTTCGAATGGTGTAGACTTGATGATGGAATCTGTTTCCAAGAGCAAGGAGCCTTTTTCAACTGCTGAAGAGTTTTACCTTGTTCAACAGTCCTATAATCTCCCTCCCAGGGATCACAAAGAAGTGCAGGTTAGTCGAATTACATCAATTCTTCTTTTCTTGCACCTATTCTTTTCTAAACTTTTCCTCTTATTTATTTATTCATTTCAGTACCCACACTTTAGTTAACTGGTTAGAATCATATACTTTTATCATATGTTTATAATTTACAATTTGCCTTAATGGTTGGGCAAGGAACATGAAGATCATTACATCTCTCTAGCTAGCCTGGTGACATTGCAACAACTGCATTTTAGAGCTATCTGGACTACTAGGAAGAGAACAAACAACCTATGAAATTGCATAATTATTACTTGTATACATTTTCAGTCTTTGTGTGTGTGTGTGTGTGTTGTACTGACTTTTACCTATGCTATTGAAAATAATAATAATAATAATAATAATAATAATAATAATAATAATAATAATAATTAAAACACAGGAAAATAAAATTTAAATTCAATTTTACTAGTTACTGTTTTACTAAAGCACTGATGTCCCATATCAAGGCCATTCACTTTAACCCATGATCCCAATCTTTACAAGGTTGTTCTAGTTGTTGACTTGGTAACCACAAGATTGCAAGTTCGACTCCCAGCGGGAGTGGCCTATTGGCTTGCTTGGTTTGAGCCGGTCAACTATAGGCAACCTAGGCTGGTTTACCTCCTTCTAGTCCTTTGCCAGCTAGGGTCACAAGATGTGGTTTACCCAGTATGTCATGATATTAGTATATAATGTGCATCTTGTTTGCTATTCCGTGTGGCCAACATAATTATCCTTCCTTCTGACAAAAGCAGGAACAACCACTTATAGTGGTAGAAACAATTGGGGAAGCTGGCCTAACTGCTACACCTGCTTCAGTTCTCCACAAGGTTGATGAAGCCACAGGAGAAGTTAGTCAATCAGATATAAAGAAGAGTGCTTTTGATGAGGTGGAAGTTGCTAACCACATTCAGGGCTCTGAAAACCATGAACTTTTGCTGGAAACAGTTGAGTGTCGTGGCGATGTGCAACACTTAATCGAAGATACAGATTGTATCAAGGATGTCAGTGAAGAATTATTATCTGAATTAGATGCAGTTGGTGACTTTAGCATCAAAGAACCAGGATCAAGGTTGAACGAGTTTGGAAGTGAATCTGGGAGTTCTAAGAGAGTGATACTGCACAAAGATTCAAGTTTGATTGAAAATGAGATTGAATTTGAAGGAAGATCAACTGAAGATATTGATTTGGATCACAGGCAACTCCATGAAGATAACTCTAAGAGACATTTTCTTCATGATTCTGTTGATATGGAAGTGAAGACAGCAGAATCATCGGTCTTGGTTTTGCCGCAAGCTTTGGAAGCCAATCTAGAGAAATTTATGGAGTTAAATTCTAAAGATGGATTGCTTGAAGCCGGGCCAGATGAAGGGGACTCATTCAAGGGTGTGGAATCCACTTTAAAAGCATTTGATGTCCCAGAAGGAAGCAAAGTTGAATCTGGAAAGCTACATTATGAAGTTGACAGGTCAGAAGATTCACATTTGGCTACAGCTTCTGAACCTGCACATCATGAAGCCCCTGTACATAACAGTTCAAGTATAATCGATGTCAAAGACAAGAAGAAAGAAGATTCCCTCAAATCAGATTCAAGTTCAAGCTCCAGCTCAGACTCAAGCTCAAGTGACTCTGATAAAGAATGAGAAGCCAAGAAATATTATTGGACAACAAAGGAAAGATGGAATTGGATTTTCTGTTTCATTTTCTTTCTGTTCTTGAGTGACATTTCAGAGGATCAGTTTCTTCAAGAATGACTTTTTTTTATACAATTTCTTGAAGCACCCTTTTCTTTAATTTCAGTTTTGTGGCAATTGTGGAGTTTTGTGGGAGGAAATGTTTGTTATTTCCTGTTGACTTTTTTTGTACAAAGATCAGAGTTGAATTATTATATTTAAAGGCCAAAGATTTCTTCTTGAAAATAATGAATACTTTTGCCCTCTTTTATGGCTTCTTAAATCTTAACTATTATAGCAAATGCATTCAGAGCTGCTGGATCAAGCAAAGAAGGTAAGCATGGGGTTGAATCATAATCAGGAACTTGACTAATATTGCACAGCATTTAGTGCATAGAGATACATACAAAAAAAAAAAAAAATTCATAACTTTTTTTTTTTAAATATTATATTAAACAACCTTAATAACAAGGCTAAAGTTAAAGTATTTGATAAAGCTACAACTTTCAAGCATCTTACAGTGTCACACACATACATGCTTAGGTAGGTAAATAACAGGTGATCTTCAAGGACAGTTGCCTATTCATCAAGTCTTATCCTCTAAGAGCAGTTTGTATCATAACTTGCAAGTCCCATCAACTCTGGACCTTCCAGTCTAGGATTATTCTCAAAGCTGCAAGTTGAATGGCCCAGAAAACAATAATCACTATAACAACTTATAAAGGCAAAACTAAAGCAAACTTCATCAAGACAAATAAGACTTGGGCAATGCAAACATCATATCATGCTGACAATCAGCTGTACATATGTAATTATTTTCATTCCCCACATTATCGTGTCCAGTGTCCAAAATGCCCATGTGTGGACCAGAAACACCACTTGCTCTTAAAGCACAATGCTAACCGAAACAAAATATAAAGATTGAGAAAGAACAAAGTTTATCAAATGTGTGTCGAGGAGAATTTATTCAGAGAATCCGGTAGGTACACACTCTGGCAACCTTAAGGCAATACCGTGTATAGTATGTTACCCCCCACACTCACTCATTCACTCACACACACACACAAAGGTCATTCACCGCAAATTACATGCAACTTCCATAATTAACATCAGCTTTTAGCATTTTTGTTGATATATCTTTTCTCCTCCGGAAATTCAACTTCTTTTTTTTTTTTTTTTATTACAGAAAATTTACCTTTTGAAAAATATTTTGGTGGTAGTTAAACACTTTCAGTTTAAATGTGCTCTGGGATACAGGAATACCATTGGTCATCATATTTTAGAAGAAAAAGTATTGAAAGGAAAGTAATGTCTGTAAAAGGACAAACAGACAGAGGGGGAGAAGAACAGTGCACCAGTGCCAAAAGCATTGGTTCTAAGTGAATATTTAGAAAGACTAGACCTCTTATCAAATGAGAAAAACTTGGTAGAACAGTTTAGTACAGTTCGAGTGGTGGTCATTTCTGAAATCATGGTAAAAGTTCATTCCTTTATCCAAAATATAAAATTCAATCTTAAACGAAAAAGGGATTAGTCTTTACAATCTTTTCCTTTAGCTACATTGGATATTACGGCCCCTCAGGTAGTTCTTTTTTATCCCCAGAGAAGTGCATCATTTAACAAGTCTGGGCATTTTTATCAAATACTGCTCTTTATGGATCACAACTAAATTCGAGTTTGAAAACAATACAGACAAAGTGTCTTACTTGTTTAGTGGAATATGCTCAAATGGACCAGAAGTCGGAATTGTTCCACACAAATTGTTATTTGATACATCCCTGGAAAGGAGAGAAAAGAAAGGTACAGATTTTTAAATTTTCAATTTCTTCAACACCAAGTATGACAAAAGAACAGAATTTACAAGTCAAAATCCACTTACACAACTTTAAGAGTAGAAACACTAGTAAGTTCCCGTGGGATTGGCCCGGTTAACTTATTATCATTAAGGCGCCTGCAAAAGTAATTAGATTAGTGACTTCTTATCAACATAAGGGATGTGTCTGAGTTCTAGAGCACTACTAGTCTACTACATCCATTGGACAGGAATAATTAATTGATCACCTTAAAAAAAACTACAGGTGAGATAAAAAAAAGATTTCATGACCGCAAACTTACAGGAAAACAAGTGCTTTCAATTTCCCCAATGAAGGAGGAATTGTACCAGAGATATTGTTGTTGTACAGATCCAAACTTATAAGGCTCTTCAAGTTACCGAGTTCAACAGGAATTGTGCCCTGGATGTTATTTCTGTAAAGCTCCCTGCACATATAAAATTTTCCGATTTAAACAAAATATTTGCATTACTTTTGGCATAACATCAGACGTTAAATTTTCATAGCATCATTTCAGTTAAGACAAAGAGCATATTCCAAAGGTGGGAAAAGGAATTGTATAGAAACACTTACAGGTACTGCAAACGTTCAAGCTTCCCAAGATCAGGCACCAGGTGACCAGATAAGTTTGAGTTTCCAAGGTCCCTGCAAGAAATATTGAAATATATTGCACATAAGATCCATAATTACTAAACGAAGGAAATGAAAATAATAAACACTGCAACAAATGAGGAATATGAATGAAAAACACCAAGACCCAGATGAACAATAAAAAATACACCCAAATGTGCAGTTTGACTGAATGATTAAAATACAAAGTTGCAGTCTTTTCCAATAATCCACTCCTTCAAGAACTACCTAGTTTTGATTGTATTCTGTTATACTTGTAGGGCATCATTTGAAGTACCAGGAAGCATATGTTAACTAAAAATTGATCAATTACCAAAAAGGGAGATTCCAATAACACATGAATATCCCAGTACATGCTTATGAATCATCGTACAGAAACATTTAATCATTAATTATTTCACCAATACCAATGTAATCCCAGTGCTGCACGAGATTAGAAGTCCAAAGAACCATCCAATCAACTTTAAACTTAAAGTAGCCTTCCTCCACAAACCCCCCCCCCCCCCCCCCCCCCCCCCCCCAAAAAAAAAAAAATCACAACTTTAATTTCCATTTAGAACAGAAAATAGTGTATCTAGTAACAGAAAAGCTTAAATAGGATTTAGGATAAGTGCATAGCAGAGAAAGGAACCTACACGCGAGTGACACGGTTGTCTTTGTCGCAAGTGACGTGAAACCAGGTGCAAGGGTTCACCAGATTGGGATCCCAGCTCTGAAGCACGTTGTTGGGGTCCGACAAGCCCCGGCGCAGCGCGTACAGCGCGTCCCCTTCGGAATTTGCGCTCACGCCGCCGCACACAGCACCGGCCAGTGCTACAACTGCAACTGCAACTATCAACTTTGCAGCAGCCGCCATGGCGCTTCAATTCCCACCCACCCTAACTCAATTTCAACAGGCACTACTTGCGTACTAGTACACAAACACAAACAGTTAGTTACTCCCAGAATGCGAAGAAGAGAGGATCCGCGTCGGAAATGGGAAATCAGCCAGGGAGTACAAAAGGAAGAATTTTGTATGATTGGGTTATCTTTTAATAAAATGAAAATTTGCGTGTTTGCTCAGGTGCCCTCCAATTTTTGTTAAAATAAATTTTGGCACGGATAGAGGATGAAAAGTAATAAATATTTCTGATTAGGGAAATGACTTGGTCTTGGACGTAAATGGGGGGCTTAAAAGTCAAGTCAGTCATTCTTTTATCGTTTACTTTAAAAGTCTAACCCAACCAATCCAATTTGGCTGGCAGCCTCCTTTTACACGGTTCGCGAAAACGACAAGAAAAAAAAAAAAACTGTTATATGCGTTCATAAATTAAGTTTTAATATACTTTTTAAATTTAGTCCCAAAAAAAAAAATACTTTTTAAGTAAATAAAATTGTGGGATTGAGTCTAATGGTTTTTTTTTTTTTTTGAATGCTACTAGCTCTATTACATTGTAGTATCTGTTTATATACTTTCTCAACCTACTGAAACACAAAGAGCTAATAACGCCTCCACTGAGGCTCGAACTCACAACTTTCCAAATGGAAGTTCAACCCGGATTGAGTCTAATGGTTATTTATTATTCAGTAAATTTTTATTAATTTGGGTTAATTAGCATTTCACATATATTTTTTTCAAATATTATAGGAATTTCAATAATAAATTTAATAATGTTAACAAAATTTTAAAATTTAAAAAAAAAAAAAAAAAACAGATAAAGACATTCATGATTATCTTCATTTCACACTAATATAGTCATGACTATTAACGGTGACAATCATAACTAGTATGATACATAAGTGATTATTAGTTGTAATTTTTTTACTTAAAAATTTAAGTGTACTATTTTACTCATTTATAATACCTGTTTCTTATTTAAAATAATAATAATACCTTATTTTTTCAATAATGGAACTGAATTGCCCTATTCTACAATTTTATGATACATTTTTCAGTATTTCACATCAAATAAGTAATATCACACAAGCAATTCCACCTTAGTTGGTCAGACTGTTGACTTGGTAACTACAAGGTTACATGTTTAATCTTCAACGGGAGCAATCTATTGTCATTATTAGTTTGACGAGGTCAACAATGGACAATCTATGTTGATTGACTTCTTTGTGATCATTTGTCAACTAGGGTCATAAGACGAGGTTCCTTCGTCACCAAAATAATAATAATAATAATAATAATAATAATAATAATAATAAATAAATAAATAAATAATACATATTTTTGACACATCTTACTGACAAAAGAACAAAATCTAAAAGTCAAAATCCACTTTAGTGGTGCTGTAAATTACAGACTTACAGTGTGTATAAAATGAAATTGAATATCAAGTCTCACATATTAAATGTATATTGTCAAATGAAATTATAATTGAACAATAATGATACTTTGTGGTGATGTAATGAAATTACAATGTGTATAAAATGAAATGAATAACAAGAGAGATTACTACATAGACCATAACAGAATTTGTCGCCTATCATTGTTAACGAAAAAAACTTCAAATGACTATTTATCTACTTAGTTCATACTGCTACGTGAACCACGGTCCACGATAAAATTTGCCCTCTTTTATATGTGTATACTACGTGCATAGGGGAGGTTATGGGTTCAAGCCTTAGTGCAGACGGTATTGACTCATTGTACTTCAATAAATTGAGAAAGTAATTATGAACATATACTCCATTGTAACAGAGTCAGTAGTATTTAAAAAAAAAAAAAAAAACTCTCTCTGAAACAACTGTATGGATTAACTAATTGAATTGAGGCCGGATCTCATTTAAACCAATCGTTATATCCTACACCACGACGCACATAGCACTGTGCGACGCGCGCCTCCCAAAACGACATCGTTTTGGGTAGTGTTGGGAGGCACGGTATGAAGTTGCTGAGATTATGTGTATTTGTTCACAACGTTATGTGTATTTGTTCACAACGTTATGTGTATTGGTTCATACAGTTATGTGTATTTTTTATACAATTATGTACATTCTTTTTATACAATTATGTACATCCAAATCAGAAAATTTGTGTGTATTATGTTAAGAGTTGATGTGTATTATGTTAAAAGTTTATGTTTATTATGTATTATGTTAGATTATGTGTATTATCTTTTAAAAAGAGTATGTATATTTTGTTATATAATTATGTACATTCATGTATAACATTATGTGTATTCTAGTATAACATTATGTACATTCTTGAACAACGGATTTTTTTTTTTAAAGAAAAAACTACTGCTATTCACTGGGGCGAGAAATTAAAAAAAAAAAAAAAATTAAAACGACGTCATTTTGCATGTGGACGCATAGTGCAACGCGCGCCGTGATGTAGGATATAAATCCCCGATTCCATTAGAAATTTCATTTCCTCCAGGCCATGAGCCCACTAGAAAGCCCAAATTTTATAGCACGTGCCACTCAGGTGCTTCAAAATTTAGAACTTGAACGAACAGACGAAACGCCGCCGCCGATTGCCAGTGCTCGGAGCGCCGTCGCCATCTTCTCAGTTGATCTGTAAAGACGAAGGTAGAAGCCGGAGACGGGATTGGTTATTTCTTCCGCCGAATGGATAACGGCGGCAAATTCCGATGCGTCGAGTGTGGATTAGCAATCAACTCTCTCTACATTCAATACTCCCCCGGCAACATCCGCCTCATGAAATGCGTACTTTCCTTTCTTCTCCTTCTCCCCTTCCCCTCTTCTCAGCCCGGAGACTTCAAAGGTTTAGTGGGCTTATATCAGCTGAAATTTGGTAATTTTGATTAATTTAATAAAATGGTTACAGCGGCTTCTTTCCTTTTTCGTTGCAGGAGAACTGTAAAGCTGTCGCCGACGAGTACATCGAGTGCGAAATCATGGTTTTTTGAAAATAATAAAAATAAAAATCTCAACTTTAGATAAGAATTTTGAAGTTCAATGCTTGAATCATTGTTCCATGGTCTTAACTTCTATTTCTTGTTCTTTTGGATGTAGATTCTCATGATTGATTTGATTCTACATAAAAGGAAAGCCTATATGCACTTATTCTATAATATGTTTACTCGGGAGAAACTCAATTTTGAGGTATCATTTTAATGGAATACTTCCTCTACTATATATGCACATTCTTGTCTAGAACTCTAGCTATACTTTAATTTATTGATACTGGAATCTGTTTTTATTTTTGCAGGGATTGTTATGGAAATCACTTCTGGGATTTCTTCTCATGGATTCTTGTATCCATTTTGTGATGTTGCAATTACAGTTAACAGATTCTTATTCATTTTCTACTAGTGTTACTTATTTTGTTTCATCATAGATAGTGAACTGTTTTGCAAGAGCAGTGTAGTTCTATCACCCAAAAAAGTCTTAACTATGACAGACAGAGTGATGGTCTTAAGCACTAGTCCAAAGGAGAGGATCTTGCCTGCAAGCTTCAATTCATTTTTGTCCATCTATGGAAAGGTATGCCCTGGATTTGTAGGTTAAGGGCATTCTTGCCTGGTGTTAATGGTTTTACATTCTGCTTTAATTATAATGTGGAGAGCCATGTAGGCTCTGTATGGAGTCCTCTTTGGGAACCTCATCTTTCTTGGAATGTTACTATTTGGCACAAGGCGGTTTCTGAATGCAACCAGTAGAGATTCGGGGTAAAATTTTCTTGAACTTTAATTCCCTCTCAGATACTTGAAGTAGCAACTGGAGTCAACTTTCTACTAGTTTTTTAAGTATTGCATTAATCCTCACAGAAGTAAGAAGCATGTTGTAGTTTCTTATTAGCTCGAATTGGACAGGTTTAGGTCTGTATTGCTTGCAATCCTTGTTTCAAGTTACTTAAAGATATTCCTTGTGGCGATGATGGTATGTTTGTTTTCTTCCATAATTCTTATTCTAGTGTGGACCCAATTGTTTATGTCCTTTTCAATGCAAATTCTTCGTTAATTATCATAATGGTGGTTCAGTTGAATGATATTGTCATAGTAATATTCTTTAACTTCACAGGTATGGGAATTTCCTCGTCCTGTTATTTTCGTTATTGACATGTTTGTCTTCTCGTCCAATACACTAGCATTGAAAGGTAACATCTTTGAACCTTCATTCATTACCTTAGATATGGAAATCATGTTATATAGGTTAAGCTAAATTATGAAATTTGTTTGACCAACTATTGTTTCCACTATAAATTCCACCTAGGCAGTATTTACCCTTTTACCTTGTCTATTTCTATATACCCTGTAAAAGAATGTGAATAAGAATTCTGAATTGTGAATTTCAAATCTCGAGATGATTTGAGTATGTCAACATTTCAGCTTTCTGTTCTGGAAATGAATATAGGTTAACAAAATCTGCCAATTACACTTTTGCAAACCGGTCCAAGATGTGGCCCTGAGACTCTTATAACCCCACTTGGATGGAATAAGATTAACTTAAACTTCAGTTATATATGCCTCATTTAGCATTCATTTCGTCTTCTCCATGTACCAGTGGTTACTGACAAAGACATGATTCGATGCCTATGGATCTGCTTGGCTGCACATACCATGAAGTTATTCATTGAGCAAACCCTCATAGGATTTGCAGCGGTCTCCCAAATCTATTCATCTTCATAGTTACTTTGAATTGCAAACTTCTATGGTACTGGCTTCAGAGGTGTGGTTTCAATTTCCATATATTAGTTTTCATCTGCCTAGCAGAGTAGCGGAAACTATATATATATGTTCCATCTTTTGAGTATCTGTGGAAGTTGGTCAGGGTAATTGAGCGCCAAACTGGTTCAATTAATCTCATTCATTTGGATCAAGAAACTTTAATGTTATTGTATGTTTACAGATCTTCCTCCTGTTTATGAAAAATAAAATTGTGCCTAGAGTCAGTAACGAAAAGGAAAACCACACACGCTGGTGATCCGAGTGTCTAGAGACAAAGCCTTCTCCTACATGCCTCGAAGGGGAGTGAAACCGTGCAAGGAGAGGAGGAGCCCAAGTCTTTAACGAGCTCTTGAATCAAGTCTGCACAGATGTAATCTTGTAAAACCAGTCCGATTTTTCCAGCCTCTCTGTGCTCGCCGCAAGCTATGTCTCTGCACACTTCCTCCACGCTCTGAACCATCGCTTTGCTGCACCACATTACAGGAGAGGCGGCAACTGCCCCTCGCTTTGTTCGGAAAGAACTCGTGGTGAACTTGTTCAGAATACAGTTGGTATTACTGCCATCTGTCCCCCCTGCCTTCTTGCTCCTTTGCACAATGTGGAGTGCTGCAGAATAAGACAAACAAATCTAATCATGCATGCATGCATGCAAGAATGGAGAGATGAGAAGCTGGGAATGAAGTTTCTGATTCTTGAAAATAGGAAATTAAAGGGGGGAAGAAGAAAGGTTAATATGGAGATGGTGGAGAGTGGACCCAAATTAAAGCAGAGAAAGTGGAGGGGGAGAGGTCTGCAAACTAAAGCAATTATGATTGTGTGCTTTGCCTTTTGTGTGTCTCTTTGGATGCTTTGTTTTTCACTTTGGTACCTTTCATCATTTTTTGACCGTATCATCATCAGTAATTATGTGGGCTGTTGAGAAACATCACCTCATGCTCATGGACCATCATCCATACCCAACCACTGCTTACCATTCAAACTTCACATCATATTTTTCTTATTACTATTAATTTTAAAATATGACATTATAACATGTAACTATAGAAAATTATATATATATTTTTAAGAGTTAACCATCTAGAGTTTTTCGAGTATACTGATTTTGTCACGTTTAGTCCTAAACTTTTAAATTGATCACTTGTGGCCCTTCGACTTTCAAATTTTTATATATGTGGTCCAAGTTAACCACTCATAGTCTTTCAACTATCAAATTTTAACCACCCATGGTCTTTCTAGAAGGACCGTTGGTGGTTAAATTTTGAAAGTTAAAGGACCAAGGGTGTTTAAGTTGGACGGATGGTAACAATTTAAAAATTGAAGGAATACGAGTGGTCAATTTGAAAGTTTATGACTAAACGTGGCAAAACCACTATACTCGGAAGACCCCATATGTTATTAACTCATATTTTTAATTCATGTTATTTTGTGTATTACTTAGTATAATTAGTGAAATTTTATGATGTCAAAAATGTATTATGCCTACTACGTAGTATTATAAATAGAAATGTACTTTTTTTTGTAAATAAAAGTTGTCACAGTAATTTTTAATTTCTAGTATAATTATTATAAGAAAATTTACCATGCAAATACTATGCCTACTAATATAAATAAAAATATGTGATAATTATTTGTAAAAATGCCATTGCCTTTTTTATTTATAAAATAATAATAATATATATGTATGGTGTTTTTTTTTTATATTATAATTTTTTCTTAAATTATATTTTTTTTTTTTTTGAAAGTTACTGGCTCTATTACATTGTAGTATATAATTTTCTTAAATTATATATATCATATTTAATAAGATTATTGTGTCAGCAAGCACCATAAAGCTTCTCTATATTTGCCATACTCCATAACATATATCGTGACGAGTGTAAATACAACCTAGAAAGTAGAAAAGTAAACTTCTTTTTTTTTTTTTTTTTTTTTTTTTTTTGTGTGTGTGTGTGATCAGCAGTGAGAAGAAGCAAGAATAACCATATTATCATCTAAGCATTAATGGCGAATTGAAAATGGAGATTAGGGAAACTGAAAACGAACCAATATTGTCGTGAATTTTGCTCAAAGGTGGCGAACGACTTATCATCTGCTCGTCTAACACGCTGATCGGACTCAGAAGCTGATGCTCCGCCGTAGATTTGTTTTTGCATGTTTCCACAGCCGCCGCCGCCGGCGGAGTGGATGCGCCGCTCGCCGATGACGACGACGACCCCACGGCCTTTATAATTTTCTTAAGCGCTTCCAAGTCTTGGTTGCACTTGTCTAACGCCTTCAACAGCATCTTCCTCTTCACTTCCGTCAACGATGGTTCTCCTTCCGCCGCAACCACCGGCGAGCACTTCTCCTCCAACCCCATCAGCCGCACCACCAATGCGGAGGGTCGAGTTTTTACTCCATTTTCAGCGGAGGCTCGACGGCGGAGCTCCGGTGGCAGAGCGGGACTTCTCTGTACAATTACTTCAGCGTTATTATTCTGATCATCCACCGTCACTTTGTTGTTCGCCGGAGATGAATCTTCGCTGAATTTTCCTCGCTTTCCACCTGAAAATACTCCCTCCGATCCGTCACAGTTTGTTCTTTTTACCTTAAAAAAACCAAACCATATTAAAAGAAACGTAATTAATTCATACATACCAGACGTAAGGCGTTTGGTTCTGCTTTGGTATTTGGAGATGAGGTGAAAGATTCCGGACATGCAACCGACGGATTTCTCTCGACGGCGATTTTCCGGCGGCGGTGTCTGCCGGCGGGAGGAGGAGAGTAGAGAATCTTGTCGGTTCAGCATTTTGGTTGGGTGAAGCGAGTAGCGGACACTGGGAGAGAATAAAAGGCAGAAAAAGTGGTTTCTGAGGTCTCATTTATCATACCGTTGTTCGACAAAAGGGCCACGGAGTTACTACTTTTACAACTTTGCGTCATAATGTATTGTAGTTGTTAGTGAATGAATAACCAATCCCCATTTTACTTGGTTATACTGTTAAAGTATTTAATACGATAATGTACAATTTTAATCAACATAAAATTTAACCTAAGGGACTTTCACTTTTACATTCTAGAAGCAGTACAACAACTCTTGCATAAAGACTCGACTTATCTTATGAGTTCGTGTAAACAGATCTAGTCATATCTGACTCATTATCAAGTGTGCAAAGAGTCTCACAAGTGTGAACATGCAGTGAGATCTGAGTCGTTAGTCTAGAAATAATGAAAATTAAAAAAAAAAAAAAAACAAAAACAAAAACCGTCGTCCTGAAAGGAAGAAACAAAGTGTAAAAATTGTGCACCTTAATTACAAAGATGCACTTTAAGTGTTAGAATGACGCACCTTAAGTGTTAAAATGACGCACCTTAAGTCTTAACATCGCGCATCTTCAGTTTTTAAAATGGCGTACTTTAAGTGTTACAAAGACGCACCTTAAGCAGTAAAGTTACTTACCTAGTTACCTTAAGTGTAAAAATGATACACCTTAAGTGTAGAAGTTATGCACCTTAAGTGCATAACTGACACAACTTAAATGTTAAAATGACGCACCTTAAGTGTTAGAAGGACACACCTTAAGCTTTGTAACGACGCACCTTAAGCTTTAGAATGACGCACATTAAGTTTCAACAAAAATACACCTTAAGTTCTCAAGTGTGTATAACTAACACACCTTAAGTATTAACACGACGCACCTTAAGCCCAGAAAATACGCACCTTAAGTTTGAACAATATCCAAAATATCAAATTGTCACCATGTTTTTTAATCCGCGTTCATCCTAGACGTTGATTTTGACAAAATCAATAGTTGTCATTTCATCGCATGTTTCATCTGGACACAACCTCCACATCTGATCTCAATTATATATATATATATATATATATATATATATATATATATATATATATATATATATATATATATATATATATATATAGGCTTCGAATTTGTTGCACCCCCCTAATTATATGATCCTGTGAGATCACTTGATATCCATAGATTGATTCCAAATCAATGGTTGAGATCATGAGATCTCTTAGAATAAAATAAAGATATATCATTAAGTAAGGGTGTTAACAGTAATTCTACCTAGTGGCCTAATTATGGTTAAAATTAATATGGGAAGCTAAGCACGATTTAAGGGATATTAATACACTAAATATATATGGGGTGATACATCACATGGGAAGGGCAAAAAAAACGCGCGAGACATTCCAAGTGTGAAGCCGGACCGGCGAGGCGCACAGACAACATCTACCATCGCAGGTGTGTGCATTACAGGTACACGGTTTGTGCGTTTTCTGCTATTACAATCGTTTGTGAATGTCTTGCGAGTTACGAAGTTTTAACAGTAAAAACGGTTACAAAATATATGTGTGTTTGTGCGTGTATATGAGATTGCAAAGAGTGTGAAAATCAGTATATACACCAACCATTTCCGTTTTGGGAGGCTGTTTGGGTATAATGTGGTATGTACCGACGAGTGCGTGGAAGTACAATATGTTGACCAAACTGATGGGTATAATGTGACAAATGTGAATGTGAGCTGCTGTGTATGAATATTAGAAACCGCATCACATATGCGTATGAAGGGGAAGAGGTTTTTTTTTTTTTTTTTTTTGGTTTTTCCTCTTCTCCAATTTCCAATTATGGCCGGTGGGTGGTTTCATGGTTACACAAAGAGTATTTATACTTGTGCGTATTGCCTCAATTGCGTTAGTATTGGTTGATGCATGATACTATAACCAGAGAGACCGAGTTCGGTTGTGATGGCTGGTGCACGGCCGTATGAAGCATTGTGCATCACGCCTATCATGAGTCATCCACAATGTGGTCTTTTATGTAGTGAACTTTGTGTTATTTTGGTTAGTGCATGATAGATTATAGTCTTGTGCACTAAGCCTATAATGAGTTTACATAAATGCGATCACTGTGTATACTTAGATTTGTTTCAGTGGGTGCATCGTATGTGGTAGATGTGTGCATGGTGCCTTAATTCCATGCTACTGTGTCTACTATGTTTTCCACAATAATTTGGTCTTTGTATCTACTGAATTTGTGTTAAATCGGTTAGTGCACAATAGTCTATAGTCTTGTGCACTATGCGTATAATGAGTGGCCATAAATGCGCTGATTGTGTATACTTAGCAGTGTTTCAGTGGGTGCATCGTA